CAATAAAAATCCCTTCTATTTTTTTCAAAAATCCTCCTAAATTTCTTCTATTTTCATCAAATCGGCGTAAAATTGAAACAAAAATTTCCAAAGTTGGGACCCCCCCCCCCGTTCGCGCCATCCCTGTTTCTATTAAAGCATATTTGTTTTGACCAATACTTATGCTATGAAAAACTTCTGTATGAGGATCGATCGAGTTCTAATTGCTAGTCTCAATAAGAATGCATCATACTCTATTCGATACTGAATGATTCGTGCGTAGATATTTTTTATCTGATAACGGAACGTTTGATGATTCAACATAATTTTTATTTAGCCCAGTGACGGATTTTAAAGAAGCAAGTTGTCGACAGTATGAATTGGGCGAAGTAAGATATTGCTATTTTGTTTTTCTGGGCATGATTAAGTTTGATTGTATTGTTTTTAGTGTATGCGCAGTGGTTTTTGTAACTTCATGCATATTAAAACTTTATCGCCTGCAATAAAAAAACGTATTCGTGAACGTCGAAAAAGGTCTGTATTGTATATTGAAGAATCATTATCATTGATCTTGTTAAATTTAGATCACGTTCACGTAGTCGTTCTCCATCAAACCGTGATCGTCGTCACTAAATAAACAGAAGACCAAGCAAGCAAACAAACAAACATAGGAGTGTCTTGATAGAATTTGATTGTGCATGAAGTGTCTTATGTGTTATTGTACCAAGGATATTAATGTGTGTTTTGTATATAAAATAAAATGAAAGAAAAAAATCGATACAAACGTCTTTGAGAAGACTTTATCGTTGTATTGGAAATACTATTATTTCAGATAATTGTTATGGCAGATCAGAAAGATGCTCAAATCTATGAAATAGTCACTGAAAAACTATTTGATGAATACATAAATTCACCATTGGTTATAAACAAATTATTATTAGTTCACATTGAACTAGAACAAATTTCTGTTTGTAAAATTGTAAACGAAGGACTATTGGCTATCAATCGGGATCCTGAATTTATGCAACAATTAGCTGTATGCCGTTTAAATGCTGATCATTTTTATGATTTACTTAACGCTCAACATGTTAATGCAGCGCCAACTATTCTCTTCTATCATCGGACAAAAATCATCGATCGTGTTGATGGTTTTAATCAAAGTGAATTATTAAAAAAAATCAAATCAAACATAAATAAACTCGGTGTTGTACAAACAACGGAAATAAATGCTGATAGTGATTCACAAATAATCTCTGCAGAAACTAGAATAAAACAATTACTTGATTCATCACCTACTATTTTATTTATGAAAGGTACACCGGCTAGTCCGCAATGTGGCTTTAGTCGGCAAGCATGCCATTTACTTGATGAACACAAAATAAAATATGATTATTTTGATGTACTTGCTGATCAACATGTACGTGAGCAATTAAAAAAATACTCAAATTGGAATACATATCCACAAGTAATTCGAAAGTACAATCACAAATTTTTTGTAAATTGTAAAAATTTCTTCGTTTTAGTTATACGTTGGCGGAGAGTTAATTGGTGGATTAGATATAATGAAACAAATGATAGAGAATGGAGATTTTGAAGTAAAATTACAAGAAAAAAAAGTTCAAGAGAAAGATAAAGATATGAGAAAGCATTTAGAAAGTTTAATTAACCGAGCACATTTAATGCTTTTCATTAAAGGTACACCGGAAATACCACGGTGTGGTTTCACAAAGGAACTACTCGATTTATTGGCTAAAGCCAATATTACTGGTTATAAAACATTTGATATATTAGAAGATGAAAATGTGCGGACGAAACTTAAAGAATATTCATCATGGCAAACATATCCTCAAATATATGTTAATGGACAGTTCATCGGTGGTTTAGATATTCTCAAACAAATGAGCGAAGAAGGAACATTGGTGCAAACTTTAACTGGAAAACAGGGAACAGAAGTTTAGAAAACAAATTTTCGTAATCATATACGTGGAAAAAAGCTTTTAGTATTAGATTTTTGTAAAGTGCCAATATATTACTATTTTTTTTAATCTCATTATTATCATTCCAAAATAAAACGATAATTTAGCTAACGAAGGAGTTCAAATCAAGATCAAGATCAATGTTTCTATTCGCTTTTTTAGATCAAATTCATACAAACGAATATATTTTTAACATGTCGGACAATTGGTGAGATATCTTGCTGTTGTGTCTCTTCTATTGTTTTTTGATAAATGAGATCAGATTCCATAATTTATAAGAGTAAAAATCTAAATTTGATAAATGATTCATTGGTTCGATTAATAAAAACCTAACAAACGACGTTTTCACCGCAAGCAAAAGAAGTTTCTAAATTTGAACCATGAATTTATTTGCATATCGATTCAAGCGCATCGCGAAAACTTATTTTTTTCATAGAACTGAATATTGATTTACAGTGAAAATTTAGTAATTGATTTTTTCGTTCTAATAAGATTGAAAATATCGATGAGAATTTAGAAGAACTTCACTATCAACAGCATTAGATTGAAGAAAGCTTTGATTCATTGCTTCTTTTTTTTTTGTATATTTTAGGATTCAAAATCATGAAAGTTGTAAAAATTATGCACAAGAAATCAATGAAAATATTAATGAATATAATAAGTTACCCAATGGTAGTTCACAACGAGCTAAAGTAAATATTTGTTTCTTCGATAAAATATTGAAAATCTCGATTGCTTCTTTTTCTATTATAGAAATCATCCACTATTCGTACGATGATATCCGAATTGAATAAGGATGTTGATAAACTTTCGAAGGATTTAACTACCCAGTCACGCAATGGTTCTATGTAAATGACTTTTCCATGATTGTGTTTTTTGTTTCTATATAGATATATCTTTATCTAGAACACAACGAGAAGCAAATCGTCGACGAACATTAGTTGATGCAATAAAACAATCGAAAGAAGAAATAGAAAAATCTATGAGAGAAGGTTTTAATAACACTTCGTAAGTTTCTTTGATTCGTTCAATGGCACTGTTTTTTTAAAATAACTTGTTTCTATTAGATCTCATGATCGTATGGATCCACGTTTAGCACCTGCTGTTGAAACGCAGTCTACTCAAGGTTTAACCAATGAAGAAATGACTGGAGTTCGTGGGAATTTACGCAAAAGTACTTTTTCATCCACAACCAGAAATCCACATCAATAGATTTTTTTCCTTTAGATAATGATGAAGCTATTGATGCATTACACGCTATCGTGAAACGTCAAAAGGAAATCGGCGGTGCGATGCATAATGAAGTTGAAAGACACAATGAAATAATTGACACAATAACCGATCGTACCGGACTATTGGATTCTCGTGTTAAACGTCAAACAATGCTAGTTAACGTAATTGATCGAAAGTCATCCACATTATGCTTATGGGTAGTAATTATCCTTCTGTTTATCGCCATTATTGTAATAGCTTCTGTTCCATTTAAAAAATAAGTTGAACGATATTTCTTTTGTTTTCTTCGTTTTCATTAACTGTAATCTATATCTATTTTTTTAATCTAAAACAATCAATGGATGATTTCGCATTTTCGATTTTTTTTCTTCTTCTTCTTCTTCTTGACAATACGCTCTTTTTTTCTAGAATGATTCCATCGCTTGTTCATCTAGCATCACGTGTATTGGGAAAATATTTTTTATCTATTGAAAGTTGTCGTTATTTACCAGATGAAATTGTTGAAAAACTTTTTGACGAATATTTAAAAACAATATCATCGTTATCAATAATCAATGAAAATGATCTTATAAAAATAATTAATATTTTGACAGATCATCATTCAGATGTATTTTGTACAAGTTTTTGTTATTCTATAACAAATAATTTAAATTTTTTAACGGCTAATTGTCACGTTCATTTACTAACACGGATACATTTAAACCTAGCTCAACTTGATTTTTCATATGCATTAGAAAAATTTGTTTATGAAGAAAAAAGAAAAATTTTAAATATTATCGGACAAATGGAAAATATTGAATATTTAAGATTGACGTACAATCGATTAGATGATGAAGATATTAGATTATTGACAGCTAGTAATCGAATTCGAAGCAAAGCTTTATGTAATTTACATAGTTTACATCTTCAAGGTAAGATTAGTAATCATCATTTCAATAGAATATTCAGCAAAAATTTTATGCTTCAACAAAAAGATATTTTGAGTAAAAACTTGATTTATATCTTCAGATGCAAAGACACTATAGAGCTGGTTTAGTTTTGAATCTACCCTAGATCCAAATATATTGTTACATTGGATCGACAGTTCCTATACATTATATCGAAATTCTTTAACAGATATCTTGAATGTTCTTGGATGAAAACATTGAATTTTGCATGAGTATATGTATAGAATGCTTTTTTGTTTTTCAATAACTGAAAGAATTAGTCTCATGCCACAAGTGAAGTAGAATGGTGAAGGAAAAAATGAAGTTAGGATACACCCCAAAAATACATTCTTTTGTAAACTGTATTGTTTTTCATTCAGATAAAGTCGGTAAATCTTCTTTGTTAACTTTGCTCTATAGTGTGAGTTTGAAATAGAAAGAATTTTTCTCTCATTGGATTAGCATAAAAAGATTCGTTTTTCTTCAGTCTATATTTGCTAGTCGTCTTGAAACTGATGAGGATTGTTGAGCCTATTGCAGATTTAAAACGTTCTATTGTCTATGTCATTGTTTTTAATGGAATTGTTTGTGACTATTACTGTTATTCAATCTTATAGTGACACGATGAAGACATGAGAACGACTGTTATTATGACGCAAGTTCCTAATTGAGAGAAATTTATTTGTCAAGTGGGATGTAGCTCTTTAAATTTGGGTTACTTAAGAACACTTGCAGCTATTTTACAGTGCATCTATGTAAATCTAAAGTATTGTGCTGTAATTTCATCAAGTTTAGACATTATTTTACCGTACTTTGTTGTAATCAATCAATTTATGCATTTTAGGAAATAATCTCACAAGTAGATCGGGTCGCTTTCTAAAAACATTAGCATCACTTGATAATTTGTATATTTCACTAGTCTCTTCTTCTGTAAGTGAACTCGATTATTTTATATAGAAAAAATGATTTCACGTTTGTTTAATCGTTAGGAAAAATCAGCATTTGTTAAAGAATTCGACAATCTTTGTGAATGTATTTGTTCAAAACAAAATGGCTGGGAAGAGATAATCAATCGTGGATGGATTTCAAAAATTCCTCAATTACAACCTTCAGCAACAGCAGCGGATAATAACTTTTGTATGAGTTTATTTGAAGAATTGGAACATCGAAATAATTCTTTTTCAAATTTCTCAGATCGAAAACGACGTCGAGTAGACAACGATGATTCTATACAATTAGTAAAACTTGTTCGATCTTGTTCAACATGTTTTCGAAATTCTACATCTAAATCAACAAAAAAACAGGAGAAAATTATTTCGAATCCAACAGGATTTATGGATTCAGCACAAGCAAATGATTTGTTATCATGTTATTTATAGGATAATTTATTTTTCAGATAAAAATCAAAAAAATGTATTCGACTAAATTTTCGGCTCTATATCGTCTTAATCAATCAATAAATCATGTTCGTCGTTCATTTTTTAGCCAAACATATATTAATGGCCAATGGGTATCATCACAATCAGGTGAAACATTTAAAGTCTATAATCCAGCAAATGGTCATGAAATAGGTAGTGTACCCGATTGCAATATTCAAGATGCTGAAAAGGCTGTTCAAGCAGCTCATGATGCATTCCATCATAAATGGTCAATGAAAACAGGAAAAGAACGAAGCATTGTAATGAAGAAATTTTATGATTTGATTGTAAAAAATAAAGATCAACTAGGCAAAATATTAACAACTGAAATGGTAATTTTAGTTTACTACAGATATCAATTGGTGTTAATAAGAGAAATAAGAGAATGTAAGGTGCCGCTAAAGCAGAATTGGAGTAAATTTTGTTTCTCGTTTATTTACATATGGTTTGATAGAGCTAGAAAAGCTGATCAAGAATATGTACTTTTTATTTCGATTTCATCTTTTTTTGGCTGAGAAAATCTTCAAAAACAAGAACGACTGAAAAAATGCTGTTTTTATGTTAAATTTAAATTTTTTACAAAAACTACCAAATTTCTTTTTCAGTTATTTTCTGAGCATTTTTAAAGTACTACATTCTAAATCAGCATGAAAAACTGAGTAGGAAAATATTATTTGGTCAGATGTAGACCTAAAAAAGAAAAAAAAAACTTATCTCATATAAATAGCTCCATCAGACGAAAAATACGTGTCAGTGGGCATTCTTGTAAATCTATCTAGTTTTTTCTAATAAGTGAAAGAAACAATTGTCTCATCTCATTAGAGTCGCCAAACCATGTACTACAAAAGTTATTATTTTGGTTTTTCAAATTTTTATTTTTTTGGTGAGAAATTTGAATTTTTTCGCTGTTGGGTGATGGTATGTAGTAAAAAGACGAAAAATGTGCATTTATTGGCCAGTTTTCATAACAAGAACTAATGCAAAAGGCAAAACCAATAGCATATTAGAAATCAGCGTTAAAATCTACATCGACTCATATGTGTTTGGTACAAAAATATTTCTGACGGAAAAAAGCCTGTGGTCCCCCTCAGGTATAATTTCCTAAAAATTTTCTCCTAGTCCCCCACAGATGAATTTTTCTCAGAAAATAAAATTCAGTTTAATATAAATGAGTCGAAGTAAATTTTGACGCTGACTTCGAAAATGCTATTGGTTTTGCCTTTTGTCTTAGTTATCGTTATGAAAACTGGTCAATACATGCAGATTTTTCGTCTTTTTGCTACATACCATCACCCAACAGCGAAAAAATTCAAATTTCTCAACAAAAAAATAAAAATTTGAAAAAACAAAATAATAACTTTTGTAGCCCATGATTTGGCGATTCTAATAAGATAAGATAAGTATTTCTATCACTTCTTACAAAAAACTAGATAGCTTTACAAGAACGCTCACTGAAACATACTTTTCGTCTGATGGAGCTATTTATATGAGATAAGAAATTGTTTTCTTTATTATATCTAAGTCTAATCATATAACATTTTCCTATTCAGTTTTTCATACTGATTCAGAATATAGTACTTTGGCAATACTCAGAAAAGAGCTGAAATAAAAATTTGGTAGTTTTTGTAAGAAAAACAAAATTTAACATAAAAATATGTTTTTTCTCAGGTGTTCTCATTTCTTAAGATTTTCTCAGCCAGGCACTAACTAAATCGAAATAAAAAGTATATATTCTTGATCAGCTTTTCAAGCTCTATCAAACCATATGTAAATAAGCGAGAAACAAAATTTACTCCAATTCTGCTTTAGCGGCACCTTATTATATTCGTTTCATATCATATAAAAATCTTGTTATGACGATCGATTGTTTTCTCGTGAACAATAATTTGTTGTAGGCGTTTAACCAAATCGAATGCGAACGCATTTCTGAGTTCTTCATGTCTAGGTTTTCACATATAGTAGTGAGATTTCTTCAAACAGTGCAGTTGATGCTTCTGGGCTATTGAGATTTTGGAGTAGGATATGAAACAATTATGTTTCTTTCTTCAAATTACTATTTTTGGCTAAATTTACGCTATTTTTTACTCACACACAAAAGATGTCTATCAAGTTGTAAGCGTAAAAATGCTCAAGATGATATCCTTTTATTTGAAGTACATATTATGAAAACAGAATACTCTCTTTTAGGCAATTCGAGATGCGTTATAATTGAAATAAATAAAAAGCAATTCTCGAGAAAATCAGGATATATATATATATATATATATATATCTAAAGGGAAGCTTCATACTCTTATTTGAGATAAGTTTTTTCGATGGCCATCAACCCAACATCCTTTCATGACAAACCGATTAATCAAGTGAAGATATTCTTTCGTAAGTAGGCTTTCTAAAGATAGATTTTTACTGCTTCCTCTTTTTTTCTTATAAAAAGCAATGCCATTCAATGAATTATAGTACGGATAAATTCGATGACGGACTACGCCGTATTTTTGTAGAATACTGATCTTTCATATAAAGGATAAATTAATTTCATGAGTGCTGCCTTGTAAAACACCCTAGGAAATATTTCAAACGTCTCATTCGGTACATATGAGTCGAGTTTGCACTTATAAAGATCAAAGTCAATTTAATGCTGCCGTCACTCAGTTGTATTGCGAACATCATACGAACGAGAAATATTATCCCAGGAGACCTATCTAAAAAAAACCATCGGAAGCATCACCAATCTGATTTTTATTCAATGGGAAAACAACAACGAATAAGCCAACAAATTGAATCACACATAGAACGAATAGATATTATTTGTGCATCAATAAAATCTTGGAAGAAGTGAATAATCACGTTATTAAAAAAGCAAAGTCTACTTTTTAATTAAGACAAAAGTTCTGAAGAAGTTTTTAACAATTTTTCTACGTTCTATTGAACGCATGTTTGAAATATACTAGATGCAACAAAATTCATTGAATGATTTCCGACACTCTAAAATATGTTAAAATAACTGATATTACAGTCATCCACATGCAATATTCTTAAAACAATCCGCCATATCTTCTGCTATTGTGAACGAGAGGAAATTACAAAATATTTCTTAAAGAAAACATTTCCTTCGTGTTACTTATTATTAGTTCAGTAAGACAAGCACAGGACATACGTTTGATACAAAACTTCGCTTTTTCGCTGAAGAGAAATAAAAAGAGATGAAGGACACGAAATGCAAAGAAACATTATTAAAAACAATTATTGTTTGATTCAATATATAAAGTTTATAATGGAAAGACGAGAAACAAGTTATTTAAAAGCTAATAATAATAATTTCGTAGCGCTAACATGAACTAGTTAAACATCGTTACACTGTTGTTTAGTATAAGATGATGATGGCGGTGATAATAATCCATCTTTCGTAGTACATAGGTATCGGTTCTTATCGTCCATATGGTCGCACGATACGGGCTGCTGAATATGAATGGGCCGACCGTGTGCATTCGAATTAGATGTTGACCTATCGTATTGTATTGCCAATGAATCACTTGGAATTCGATCAGAATTATCAAGAATTGGTTTTAAAAATGGACAACGAGACCATTTGCATATAATTGCAAAAAAGATAGTAAATAAAATAGTTAGAACAACTAAACAGAGAGCAACAAAATCACGTGTTGATGGTGTTTGAGGTATCTCGAATGATTCTGAAAGGTCAAATTCAGACACTAAGAAGAGAAAATAATTAAGAACTATTCATTCGATCTTACTCAATTTAATTTGCTTGGCTCGTAGTTTTATAAGAAAAGTTCAGCAAACTCGTACTATCTTGAACAAACGAAGAGAAAAAAATGTAAGATTGTAAATCTTGGCTACTAGAGTCTGATTTTTCTTTCCTTTCTCTTTTCATCTCTGTTATTTATTTTGCAACGAACATATAATAGGCGTACTGCATTATTAGCTCTTTTTTCTCTCGTACTATTCACATGCATAGATAGAAGGAAATGATAAACTAAAAGAAAGAAGAGGAAAATTCATCACTTGAGCTGTCGCCATTCTAGCATCCAATTTTTTTGTTGTTCCACAAGGAAACATATCATTAATGTAAAATTTCACTAAAATATAAATAAGTCATCCTCATCAACATATTTCATGGCACGAAAGATGTTTTTTTTTGTAGTTTGTCACAATCGATTAAATGATAGACAAATTGAAAAATCAATAAATACTGACACTAATGTATTGTAATAATAAAGTTTTCCGATTCAAAATTGATTTCATATTCAATTCTACTTTCACTATACAAGTTTAGCTGTTACATAGAAGTATGGTTTCTCAGTTTTGATATTTATTCATGAAAAATCTCATAGTTATGAATGTAGCTTTGAATTGTTTAAACATGACAATCAGCGGAGTCAGTCTGCTACAATAAAAAAATAACCAACTGAATATACAAGCACATTATTTTGACTTCTAATGTTAAATGATTAGATTTCCTTTTCTTTTTGAATCTTTTCTTATTAAGTTCTATGTCTTATTTTATTCTTCTATGAGGTACCGGTCTCAATACTTTTCAATATGACAGTACGGATGTCAGGCTAAATAATTCAGTCTATATCAATGCAATTAGTTTTGTTAGTATATTGGTCACATGAGATTCTTTTATAATTGAGTTACTGTAAGATTATTTTTCTTTTCATAGAAGAAATCAGTAGTCTGGCGTTAAATCAATGATTCTTATTTGAATGGACCACTTGAACTTGTCATTTTAATTATTTTTCTGTGCATCATAAACTTTACAGAATCGACTGTTGATCCACTCGATAGAAAATTAGTAGGTTTCAAAAATCGACTGGCATTAATTCAACATCCTTCCATATAAAGATTTATGCTTTTACTATCATCAACATAGCTTAGTTTAGTGTCAGTAATTGGCTTTTTTTCTGTGATAGGATCATCATAGCTTTTGACTTAAAATTGATGTTTCTTGCCAATCAATGAAAATAATAATCAAAAGTGCAATCGCAATGGATTTAATAGAGAACATTAGCCGAACAAAATATGGTGTAATGAAAAAAAACTTTTTTCAATTTTATTTCAAAAAACAAAAATATCCAGATAAACTTTCAAAAACCTAACTGTCGTCTTGACCGGCTTGGTAGGTTTCTTTTGCAAACTGAAGATTGTTTACGGACTAAAGAAAAATGTGTAACGATCATTTATATGAGCATAACTCGATTCTAGCATTACATTAAAAAAACAGTAAAATCAAAATATCATATTACTGACATTAATAGCATTGATGTTTGTAGTTTCAATCTATAAAAAAATTATATTAACAAAATTTGTATGTTTTGAAATGAATCATTCTGTTCACAATATACTTGAGACAATTGATCGTAACATACTGAGTAAGAAAAACTTTCTTTAAATAAAAGAATAAAATAGTGCATATGATTAGACAGCTATCTGCACACTACAGATGGCATAGTACTAATTGGTTGCATGCATTCCATTGGGCATTGAAATGATTTATAGTTTTATTCATATTGATCATATTTAGCTAACTAAAATATGCAATCTTGCCGTATCATTAGGTATAGGGTAAGTTTTCTCTATTGCCTTTGTTGGTTTTCTTTAATTTAGAAGTAAGCCAAGCCATACATTTTGAGAAAATGACTCCAAACGACATTGTTTCTTATCAAAACAGATCAATTTCGACTCTTCATATGCTTTGACTCTTATTCTTTCATGCAACAAGAGTACAGGAGCAGACAAGTCATTTGCTGGCACGTTGTCTATCCTTATGTCACCACGAAAAAACTTCTATTCATCACAAACAATTCATCATAAATGTTAACTAAACCCCTACACAAAATAGAAGCCCATCCCCTGGGTTAGATTTCTCTGTTGAAAACCAAGGTTGACTTCATGAAAAATGAGAGGATGAACATTTCTCTATAAAATAACGCAAAAACTGGCATTAGATCATGCTTTGTTACAAAATTATAGCTTGCGGAACAGAAATGCCACCCGGGGGCTGCGATTCTGTAGGGGGGGGGGGGNGTAAAAACAAAAAAGAAATGGTATGTTATGAATCGTCGATATTGGAGATCTGTCTTCCAACTTATCCAATAGTCTTCATTGTATGTTGCCTATTCTCATAACAACATCAAATTTTGCCACTGATTTCAAGCTTTTCTGTTTAACGTGTATCAAAATTATATATTCAGAGAATATCATATCTGAAGATCTTAAAAACATATTGATACAAATGTATGAGAATAGTATATAATCAGACATCGTCAAAACATAATTCGTAGGGATTAGGTTACAGTCAGACAAAATCGATATAGTACAAGAAGCAACGTAAATGTGCAAATATTGACTAATAGCTACAGATCACATCCAGGGCATTTAACAGCTCATTGAATTGGGTAATTAAGGAAGATATTTCTATTTACATATTTATCTAGTAAAACATCTGACCAAATTGAATAACACTAATACGACACGTACAACATAATAGCGTATGTAAAACGGGAAAATGTAGAGGAACGAAAAACGCATTACTTATATTTGATTGGCTAATAAGAAAAACTATTTTTATTGCAACAGTCATATCCTATCAATCGTTTGATTGATTTGATGATGATTATTTGAATAAAAAGAAAATAGATAAACTTGAACGTATTAAATTGAAAGTATTACATTCATAGAAAAAAGAAATAATCTTTTATCTTAATAATTGTGAAAATCTGTTTTTTCTTCTCTACACTCACATTTAAATCTTGATGTACCTTTTGTATGTAAATATTTTACTGCAGTTGATCTCAAGATAATAGGATGCTATTTGCTATTTATTGAGCACATTAACAGATTGTGGGAGAAAATTTCCATGCATTTTATGACTATTGATACCTGTCAAATACATAATCATAAACAACATGTTCTTGATTGCTATGCGTGAAGAGCAAAGAATACCAGTAATCACTGTCTTGTTGTTGAAAAATGAATCTCATTTCTTATATTATAGAGTTGTTCGTTAATGAGAATAGGCAACATACAATGAAGACTATTGGATAAGTTGGAAGACAGATCTCCAATATCGACGATTCATAACATACCATTTCTTTTTTGTTTTTACACGTTTTAAAATTTATTTAGTTATATGAACTTTTTCTTTATACATATTCAGTGAAAAAAAGTAATTTCCATACATAATTTCATCGAATCATCAACACAAAATAATTCTTTTTTTCTACTAGAATTTTTTCGTATCTAATTTTTAATAATTAAAACTAATTTACATGGAAATAATATATTGAAATTATGCTTGTCCATAAGTCTACAATAAAAATGATAACAGTAACTACAATGAAGCGTTTTGTTATTGTGAGTAGCGATTCGAAGGCGAACTTGATAGAAAATATACTTTATAGGAAAACAACAATAATCATTATATAATAGAAATCGACTAGATCAATACACGCGTGTTACTCAGTTTGATTCATTACAAAGAACATATTGCATAAGAGCCCAAAAAAATGCGTCTCATTTTTACGCGAGTAAGAATAATAAAATCTGTACGAAATACACATGAAACGACAAAAGAAAAAAAAACGAAACAGAACGAAAAGATTTGTAATCATGTTAAAATAGATAGTTTAATTATGTTGTGATTTCTACAGATTAAATGTTTGATTAATCACTAGTTGAATCGCTATTATTCCCAGATGACGAAGGTCCATTTACCGGAGAATTTCCACTGCCACTTATTCCAGCCGCACTATCTTCTGGTTTTATAGGTGGATTGGGAGGTTCAAAATGAGCATATTGCTTAGCAGAATTCTTTGTTTTGACTTTATCTTGTTTTCGCCAAAGAACAATTTCCTTAAAATAAAAATAATTTAATTTCAAAAAACAAAAACTTTTTAATAAAATAAAGTATACTTGTTGTTTAAAATAGCGTCGTTCTTCTTCATCAACTAGAACTAAATTCAGAAAATATCGAACGGAAAATTTCCGTTGAATATCTTTCATTGTCGGTGTTAAATCATAGCCACCCAAAAAAAGACGAATAGGAATACTTTCGCCTCGAACAGGTGCACCGTCCATGATTTCATATTTTGCAATTGTTTCTGTTTCAGCGTAAATATTTGGTCCATTACCAGTACTCTCTTTTTTTAAAATAGCTATTTCCATATGTTTGATTTTAATACGAACAAGTAAGAAATATATTTTCCCAACGATAACATCTTTTAAATGATATCTAAATCACAAGTACAATTGAAAATAGATTTTCAAATAAAAACTCAATCAATCTTACTTTGATTTGTTATATTCGAATTCAATATGTAAACAATCTTCGATACCGACTTCCATTTTTATACTATTATTTATTTCTGGATATTGGGATAATTGCTGAACACATATATCACGTTCGGCAACTGTATTTGTAAAACGTCTTATGATTGTCAAGCGAAGAAAATATCTAAATGAAAAAAAATAAATTAGCTTTTTCTGTTCTATTAGAAATGTTGCTTTTTTCAACTACCTCAATTTAACATTAATACCAATGTATGATTCGTAGGGTTTTTCAACGCTTGGAAAATGAAAATCTTCAAAACATAAATAAAAGTGACTAGACAAGAAAAAACAATTATTCTTACCTATACTTGTATTTTCAGTTAATTCACCAGGAAAAGCAAGTAACTTTGATAAATTAATAAATTCATGAATTGTACTTCGATCATTGAGCATTTCTACAAGAATATAATCATGATTTTAAATTAAATAAAGAACTCTGTCTAGTTTCGGCAGTGATCAACATTTCTTTACTATATGAATTTCTCTATGATATAGGATTCACCTGAGTGCTTCATTAGTACAGTAAATAAAAATATGAATCTCCAGATTTACTAATTCGATTCAAAACTAGTCTATTCTCATCGAGATTAGCATAATATTTAAAATTATTTTAAGCCTGAATTTGTCTAAAATCCAATGAAATGATAAGTTAAGATTAAAACAAGTATCTGCATGAAATTGGTTAATTGAAAAGGTTAAAGCAGTGGTCTCTGACAGGCATCGCAACTAGAGTTATTCTCATGATTCTGGTATTTTTTTACATAGATCAAAATCATAGTTTGAATTACAATAGATCAGAATTGGGCCAGTGAGAGATTTTTCAAGTCACAAGTCAAGTCAAGTTTGATTAAAAAATTAGCCTGTATATAAAATTTTCTAGAATCTTTCAGTTGAGTGACAGGTTTTGGAAGCTCAGAGTTCCATCTCATGTGAAGAAAAGCACCTAAAATCAACAAAATTTTTTCACTAGATTGAACTTGACTTGAGGCATTTCTGACTCGACTTGCCCAGTTCTGTAATAGACACAAAGTTGCATTACTCAAAACGAAAGGTTTAAAACTAGACTCTTCGAACTATTCAATATTCACCAATTTGTCCAATGAATTCCAATCGAATGCCTTGATGTTCTACTTTGCTATTTTTCTTCAATTTAATTTGTACCTAAATATTTGACAAGTAAGAAAATAGATGAGATTGTTTCTATGTCATCATACCGATCCACCGACATCTTCACCATCATAATAAATATATTGCAATGATCGTTTATTATTATTATCATCAAGTTTAACTTCAACTTGTTTTCGTTGTTCCAGTGGATCAAGTATAAAATCAATATCAACTTTTGATCCTAAACCTAATAGATCCATTGTTTATTAATCTAGAAATAAGAGAAAAGATAGTGTGTCGTTTTTTTCCTGTTATTTTTTTTTACACTACTAGAAAATGACAAACAGAAAAAAAGGAAAAGGAGATTTCAGAAGCTTATTGGTGTGGTATTGCTGCAGCCGAATCATAAGCATCATCTGCTTGATTTCGAACTTGTGCTAAATAGTCGTCATAAGTAATTGATGGTCCATGTTTTTTTTCATCATAATATTTTGCTTGGATAAATTTTCGACCACTATAACCACAGCTGTGAACAACTGGTTTGTCCTAAATTAATTTTTTCAAAAGTCAAATTGCAGAAACAAGCTCTTTTTTTCATATTTCTTACTAAGTTAATATACACTTTAGGATGACCTAAAGGACCACCACTGTCCGAAAAAACGCCTCGAGCTTTACATACAACAACAGGATCTTCACGAATTAAATCAATCGCAAATCGAGGATTTACCTTTGAAAAAGAAAAACGATTCTTCGTTCAAATAGTAAATGAAAAGTTTTTATTCTTAACATACCAATTTTCCACCTTGAATAAATCGAGCATTTCGATAATCGTCTCGATCATATACTTGACCAGTATGTGTTACAGTATCGGCTGGATATAAATCTCGATTTAAAGGGAGTATTACACGTTTCTGATCAACATCTTCTAATCGATCAATTGTTTTCACGTATTTTTCATTTGATAATTTTGTTGGTGGCGCAAGAGACTTTTTATTGGATTCGTTACCGATAACAGATGGAACTTGTGTTTTCAATGCTGACAGATAACGGCGTGAGCCGTATCGAAATAGTGATAGAGACATCTAAAACAATCTTAATAAATTATCTTTCGTTTTTCTTTTTGTTTGTGTTTATGCTACTGATGATGATGATGACGACGATGCAATGTTATTTTATTCGTTGATTTTTCTACCAATCAAATTTACTTTAACAAAAATAGTTCTTTTCCTCGCTTGAATATTAATTTAGTCAGACATCTAGTTCAATTTACTATCCGTCTTAGTCAATAGCTTAAGTAAAATATTGTACTAATACATTTCTATTGTAGAGAAAATATTTTCTATTTTCTCTAGTAGTTTTATTAAAATTAATATCCATGCTTAAAGGCGAATAAATGAGCAGCAACACGTAGCAGCTGTTTCTGATGAACAACATAAAGTATCATTTTTTTATTTGCCAAGTCATTTAGTTTACAAGACTTGATTAAAAAAGACATATAAACTTGTTCGTAGTGCAACAATCCACAATATACTGTCAATAAAATTGTTTAATTCTATTCAGTAAAGATAGATAAAGCAAGTGTTTCCTCATACTGATTTATTAGTAAACATACAACAGCATTTTTTAATGAGGTCTTGAATTATTAATCGAAATAAAACAGATTGCTCAACATAACCCGAATTAGTTTTATTTATTTTTGTTTTGATTGATAAAAGTTTTATCGAACAATTCTTACTTATGACAAGAAATTCTACTACACAGCATAGAATACTCAACAAGTAAAGATTATGGATATTTGTAATTTATGCTAAAAATAAGAACATCCAGCCTTCGAAGAAAGATCAAAACTTATATTATTAACATCACATCATTGTACTGTTACTACGAAAAAGAGATCAAAAGAAAAATTAAATCATCGAATCGACCCTTGCTAACTTAGAAGTTAAAGAAAAGCACCTAGTTGGCAACGAGCTACAATATACCGCTAAAACTTTTAAAAGAATATTATCTATATTAAAATATTTTCTTCGTTAATGACGGGAAAATTGATCAAGGAATAATTTTGGCAAAAATCATGACGAGACATTCTATTTAAATAACTTCGCAAAAGTATAGCGGTTATTTGAAAATATGAAGAAACGTTAGTTTTTAACTATCTTCATATCCATCGACAATGATTGTCATTGTTTTAAACTGGTTCTAGAATCTATCTTATTTTTTTCGTATCAAAATAGCTTTTTAGAAAAAATATGTGTTCCAGATACTCATTCTTATTCATGTTCTTTTAGTGAATTGAGAGGTAGAGTTTTGAGCACGAAAAAAACTTCATTGAAGTCTTGATTATAGACTTCAAGCTTGCCTACTTGTTCTTGACTTTTGCCAAGAAAATCTTGTACCATACAATGTCGCCATATATCAACTTTGTTTACTGAGTGAACGAGTCGTTTGATATGTGCTCGAGATATACTTGCAATACATTTCGATGAAGAACTTTGCTACGAATGTGACCCTTCTTGAAAATATGAAATATAATAAACCAAATAATCGCATCAGTTTATTGAAATTTAATAACGGTTTCAATGTACCCTAGATGAAGAAATGCTGGATTAGAAACTTCGCGAATATTTATTGTGGGTATAATAAATGTGTTTTAAAAATTGCCATTATATCGATTTCAAATGCAATAAACCATAATGATTTTGGAGTTTAGAAAAACTCACTAATTTTATCCAATATAATCACTTATGATTTTTCTATTCGATCCAAATTTCTGTTATTTATAACAAGTATGTTCAAAGAAATTTCGAATTCTTTTTTTCGGGTTACCAATTATGACAAAAAACTTCAAACATCAAGAACTATTTTAGACTGGATTTTTTAATAGATCATAGATACTTCGAGCTTACTTTGCCTTGACAGTTGCTCCAAGCTCATAATATAGCATTCATTACGTTTTATTAGTTTTTGTTGTTATAGGAAAATATAAGGAGGAAAACAGAAAAGTCATGTGTCACCAAATACTTCTTCTAAGGATATAGGTCTTTTCTTTTTTTTACGTGTTTTTTTTAAATTTTAAGCTACCTGGACTAGCAGTACATTATAAATGGTATCTCAACAAGCTATTCAGATAGTTTTGCAACTTTTATTGAATATGACTTGAGTATGGTAAGCATTTTATATGATCATATTAAATGTTAAACAGAATGAACTATGGGTGCGGACTGTTTTGATGGTTTCAAAAATAAAGTTTATTACAGAAAATGATTCAGTGAGGTGATAGCACTTATTCAGGTGAATCAAAAGTTAAATCATGAGTGTCTGTAAGTATTAGTAATGACGAGCTGAGTATTAATCTATTGTATGAGATGAATATTGGATGCTTTAGTGAAGCGAAAGTTGACTGAATGATTTAGTTTTGAGAGTCACTTTGTTTTGTAATCTTAATTGAAACATGATGTTAGTTAGATTAGTTGCGATCTCTATTTAAAAGTTGAATATGCTTTTTCGAGTTAACATCAATTACTAATACCCATTTTGCACATTTTTATTAAGAAATAGCTGTAACATCAATATTGTTGTCTCTATAAAAAAAAGAAATTCAAGATACTATAATATCTCTTGAGAATAACTTTGTTTGAGACATAGTCACAAGAGAAAATAAAGAATTATTAAAAATGTAGAAAATAATCACTCATATATTTCATTCAGTTCAAAGAAACAATGAATTATGTCATGCTCTAAATGATAAAGAACAATTTTATTGTAATCATCAAGTTTCTATACGAATATTGGATATCAATTTTTAAGAAAAGTAGAAGCATTATCAAAAATAAACATATGAAATTTTGATGAATTAGATTAGCCAATGTCTTCGTGTTCTCTCGCAATGTACCAGAAACTATAAAAATAATGAAAAAAAAAGATCTCATATAGATTTGTAAGCATTTACAATGAATTGATACGTATAATTGCTTATAACTTGAAGACGCAAAAAGCTATTGAAGTCAAAGAAAGTGATAGATCTAAGTGATATAGTACTAATGAAGTATGCATAGCTTTTTTAAAGAAATTATCGAACTACCGAGTAGTCGACTAGCCGATGCTATGAGGAATACTCAGATGCATAAATATATTAGATTGGCGAGGATTCGAAGCTTGAGATCCTATTTTTTTCCGGAAAAATCGAATAAATGATCTAAGTGATTATAATAAAGAAGAAAAAAAAATCGAAGATGCACAGAACTCAGATGAAACTATTATTTATCGTATTCATCGATAAAGTCAATAGACTAAATTAACTTCAACAACAGATCAACTTCTGACTATTGTCGTAACAGAAGAAGCCGAAGAAGAAAAAAGATAATTCGCCTATTAAACGTTTTCTTTTTGTTAAGAAATAATGATGCATGTAATTTCAAATTTGACAAGAATTTGATCATGTGAAAAGAAATCTTATCTTAATTTTTGCTTTTGTATAAAAGAGAAAAAAACGGAAATTTTCTGTTCATTTCAGTATATGATACGGAATGGGTGCTTGCAGCCATTGTACAAAAATAGTGACACAAAAAAACAAGAGACAAAAAGGGAAGAAGGAAAGTTAAAAAAAAAAGAAATAAAAAACTTTTCTTTTTTTTCTACATAATTGAACATTTTCTACTTGAAGGTCGATTGTCTGATGAATCCGAATTTGAAACCTTATTTGATCCACCGGAATTATCACTTGGATTTATTTGTTCAATAGTAGATCGTGCACCTTTTTTTACACTTGTTGTTGACGTATTTGATGTCGACATAACCGATGTTCGCTTGGATTTGTTTCCATATACAATGGGTGTTGTGGGCCGTGTTACTGTTTCAGTTACATTTGAACTACTTGCACTATTTGTAATTGCCGATAAACTGGAATTTGTTGGTGTTGATCGTTTACCACCATGTGGAGAAGGAGATGAGTGTGCTATTGAACTACTATTATCTTCAATTAAATGTCCGTCTTGATCAACATTAAAATTAAATTGTCTTTTTTTGTCTAGTTTAAGAAGTTCTTGAAATGCTTCACGTATATTTGTATTTGTTTTTGCTGATGTTTCAATCCATGCACATGACCATAGTGTTGCATGTTGTTTACCAAGATTTTCAGTTACTTCACGGCATGCTGCTTCATCTAATTTACAACCCATTAGTAGGATAGGAGTTTCATTTTGTTGATCAACTCTTATTTCACGTATTTGATTATAGATGGGTTTTAAATCTTCAAATGTTTGTTTACTTGTTATAGAATAAGCTAATATAAATGCATGTCCTTTTTGTATACTTAATCGTTGCATCGCTGGAAATTGATGTGTACCAGTACTATAAAAATTGAATTTATTTTAAAGACAACGTAGTAATAGAAAAAAAAATTCAATATAAAATTGATTTGTTTTTATCATACGTGTCAGTTATCTGTAAAGTTGTTATTTGTTTATTACAAGATACGACTTGCCGATATGTATCTTCAACGGTTGGGATATAATTTTCACGAAATTGACCATTTACAAAACGCAGCACACAATTTGTTTTACCTACATTTATAATTATTTTCTGTTAAAATAAATAGTGACATTGATTATAGTGAACATACCGACTCCAGCACTACCAAGAACAACAATTCTATAGTCTGTACTCTGATCGGGCATAACCCGAAAAGATGTAGACAAGTCTTTACTGGCCTAGAATACATTAAATAAAAATAAATAATAATAATAATAAGAGTAAATAGCTAATAAATTAATAGCAAACAAGTATTTAACTATTCATTTTTTTGAATAGAGAAACAATACTATGTAATAATTTTAGTTACATCTCTCAACTATCAAGTGTCTCTTTCTCTTATACAACGATCAGTATATATATGATGAAAAATTAGACGAAGAAAGGAGGAGCAGGAGGAGTACAAGGCAAAACTATTGGATGCTTTGAAACTCACTCGACTTTTCTCATGTTTTGCATTCATATGCATCTTGTCCTTTGCTCCTTACGCGTCATCAACAGCTACAAGCAAGCCGTCATTTTTGTCGTCGTTCGCTAGGGAACATGACAAACTCATGTTCACTCTTTCTCTCTCTCTCTCTCTCTCTCTCTCCTCTTTGATTCAAACAACACGCAGCCAGAAAACATACAGGTACTCTTACTGTTAATTAATCTCTGACATTTTCTATTTTCTCCTCTCTCTCTCTCTTTTTTTTACTCTTATTTTTTGTCAGATGAAATAGTCTATTATTTACTCTAGCTACATGTCTTGAAAATAGTTAATAAAACAAGAAAATAGGTGTGCATGTGTGCTAATTCTATCTAGTTGGTAATGAGCATAAATTGTGCATGACCTTTATTTTATTTTTTCTATAAACAAAAACTCGCTTAGATTTCAGGACATTTCCCCAAAACAATGTTAAACAAATCCAAAGAAAGAACAAAAGGAGTAGTATTCTATTTAATTATAAATCTGCTCCGTAAATTACTACGAACATTATTCAAATTCGAGAATAACAAGTAAACGTATATATTTAATAGTTTAATTAGTATTTATCCATTACTTCAGTTCGCTTAGTTATTGTTCAGTTCAGATAGTCTTTTGTTCTTCAAACAATATTAAAAATTTTATCAGGTCAATGAATTATTATTCAAACTTATGCAACTAAAGTAATTCCCAAATAAGGAAATAACAAAAATACATCTAATAATTAATAGATTAATTATATAATTTTCTAAATGTAAAGTCGTCGTGAACTTCTATACAATAGTTGTTCGATATTTTTTATGACATTAAACATTGATCAACAAAGAAAAAAACAAACAGATTTTTCTCTTAAGCAAATGTCAACACATCTATGAAAATAATTATATTCATTATTCCTTTTGTTATTCTCCGCAAGAAAAAGAAATTTTCTGGGCTATTGATAAAGGTTTTCATCACTATTATTTTGACTTTAGCAATAAACTAATCTTACCTTATCAAGTGCCATGTTCGTTTCGCTTCGACAAGCAATCAAAATAATCCAAAATCGTTCGATGCTTTGAGTATATAGTAAATGATGGTAGAGAACACACGCACACACATGCTCACACGCACATCAACGTGCAATGACACGTCTCGAATTCTTCTATCATCACTCTCATTATTGTTTGCTTTCCGTCTATGTATTCTATCTTCGTTTTTTTAGTTAAGTAATAATCACTCAGTAGCAGTTGCAGATAAGGAAAGACATAGAAAGCGACAGAGAGAATGCGAGACAGACCGAGACAGAGTAGGAAATACTAGGAGAGCAATAGAGAGCAAAGAGAAAGAAAAAACACCATAATCTTTTCCAAACGAGCAATGACGAGAAAATGAAAAAACATTTAACTGAAAAGCTCTTCCTTCTAATCAAGAAGGAAGCGAACAAACGAGCGAGCTACTGAGCGAGTAAATGAGACAGTGTGTGTGTATGCGTGTGCGAGCGAATTTAGGCAATAATAATAAATGCAGGTTAGCAGTTTTATCGGCTTCACATGCAAAATATAGATAAAACATTCAATCGAGTAAAGAATCAGCACCTTCTTTCTTCCTTTCTAGTTTTTTCTTTTTCTTCTTCGCTGTTTTACATTATCCTACTTTTTGTTTCTTTATTCTTTTCTTTTTTGAATGAAAATGATATTCTATGTACGTTAGTATTTTCTTGGCTTTCGTTATTTAATAGTATTTATATTAATTGATGGAATGGCTCTAGTAAAAATGCATCAATTCTCAACAGCATGGACAACTCTTGATCAATCCAATCAGTGCAATGCTTGTTTTTTTCCACATTGACATCTGAAGAACTCGGTCGTTGAATTAGTAACGACGTGGATTTCCTTTTTCTGTCTGTTTCTGCCTTCTGTTTCATTTTCTTTTAGTCAGTATTCACGATTGAATTCACCCCTACATTTTCACTAGAATAATCGAGTTTATACTCTTGTGGTGCGAAAAAAGGGAGAATAAAAGATGCACCAATATTATCTATCAGAAGCAGAAAATTCGGCAGAAACAGAAGAAAAGAAGATGTTGATGACGACAATAAGATGGTGCACAAGAGGGAGAAAAATAAATGAGAATTTCATTGCAAATAAATGTTGATGAATCGATAATGGAAATGCACATTATGGTTCCTTAGATTTTATACTGTTGATTGACAGTCATATGGAAAGAACGAATGTCAACAAAAAAAAAAATAGAAAACGTTTTTGGTTGTTTTTCAAACATTGATTCACTATGAATAGGTCCTTTGATCATTTAATTTAAAGAGGACACAACAACACATGCCATAGATTCAGTCCTTGGATACGTTGAATTTTTACACGCTTTATTTACAAGAATTTACTGCTTAAAAGCATACTAGGCATGATAAATTAACAAATATGGTAATTTTTGGTTGATGAAGTCTTTTTTTCTTCTTCTTTGTACATTTTGGATCACACGATCTGATATTAAATTAATAAGGCGTAGCAAAAATTATTAGAAAGAAGAAAAGTTTAATCTTTTTTACCTGTATGTAAAAAAAAATATTTTGATATAGTGATTCGCCAGAAGGCTTATTTTATATCCCGGAAGGAAAATAACAGTTTATGTATGAGATGAGTCAATTTTTTCTGTTGACTTTACGATATTAAATAGGCAAGAAAAGAAAACCAAGAGATTCAGCTTACCTGTTCTGTTATTTTTTGCTATGATACAATTAGAAATAAAAAGTACTCTGAATATTTTATATCGAACGTTATTTTTTCTTAGCCGATAATGAATAATTTTGTCGATTTTCTTGATCTTTTTAAGAAGAAAAATGATATATTCTAATAACTAAAAGAGAAAACAACTATGACTTCCGCTTGAGAAATATTGCGAAAAAAGTCTAACAACATTTTGTTCATTAATATGATTGCTTTTTTTTATTCTTGTCATTTCTCTCTGATATGAAGGTTTTCTTTTTCTGACATGTGTTTTTTTCTGTTAGCACTCTTATAAAATCAATATTGTGACGATAATCCTCTGGAGAATCAATATATTAATATGGAAAAGATCTGAATAATGAATTGTTTGATTTTGTTTAGAACGATTATAAAATCAAAATTATTCGGCGAAATAAAAGCATTTTACTCATGATCAGTTGTTCTTTTGACCGAACTAAAAACTATTAATATATTATAATTTAATTTGCGAAAGCTTTTATTTATGAGAAATATTAAACGTCTAGCAAGTTTTTTCTAATTTCAGCATTGATTGGATGTACTCGGGGGTTAGGAATTAGGAGTTGAGTTTTATACGTTCTGAGAAGAATTCTCCAGAGAGAGGAAGAGAGAGAGAGAGAGAGAGAGAGAGAGAGAGTCAATCATGTAAAATTTTGAAACAAATGAAGTTCAACTTGATTATATTTACATTTGATGACTTTTTTTGTTTCAAGTTTTATTTTAATTTTAATTTTAACTAGTAATAAAAATAAAGCATCAATACACTTTACTGAAGACGTTAAAGAAAATGGTTGCATTGTTTCTTTATGAATCTTTAAATAGATCAAAATAAAGACTTTGAAAATGTCAAAAAGCCTTGATTACTTCCATTTTGATAGTGCTTTTATACAGCAAATAGAAATAAATTTGAGACCGTATGGGGCAGATTCAACAATAAGGAGAAGCATTGGATGATCTCCGTTTGTTCGACTCCCTAATGAAGTCGCGTGTTACTTTATTCTTCCTTTATTTTCCGGCTATAAGAATTCACTTTTGCTTCCTTAAACTCATTCGTCTTAACATATTTTCTGCTGAATACCATTCTTCAAATAACACAACTATTGGATTATCAAGTCTCGTTATTGCTCTATTTTCTAGCTAGTTGATTACCTGTAATATTAGTAGGCTTTACAATTCAAGTATGAAATCTCCAAAATATATACTACCTGACATATCCAGTGAGACTGTTAGAGCGTTCATTGCGCATGATGTGCATTTGCTTGAATTAATCTTTAGAGAAATTTCTTAGAAAAGTAAAAACTGTGTTCAATTTTCAAATCTACTTTCCTTGTCGGAAAAAAAATCATGACAAGTGTCGATTTGTAATAGATTCAAATAAAACGAAAGTATCTATTTGAGAACTATCAAGTACTAAATTTTATATCATAACTAGTTAAGAATCAAAATTTCGCAAGACTTCAACGATTCAAAATAAGTTTGATAATCAATTTGTGTTAAGCGGAATAATCAAGTTTTTTTTTCTAAAAGTCCCGATTTAGATTTTGTCACACGATAGTTTCATTCTCTGATCAATGGCTAGATACTAGTGTTCGATTGAAATCGTCAATTTTTAGTACAAAAATGAGCAAATATTAAGATATGTTTTTGCTTCTAAAAAATAAAAAAGAAACTATTACGAACTTTAGTCGATGAAGATGTTGCAAGCACCAAGAAGAACAATGAAAATGGCGCATAAAACTGTTATGTTGATTCATACGTTAATATGATCTCCGTTTACTCTGATCATGTAGTGAAATGCATTTCGAATCTCCTTAGTCTAGTCAAGTTTCATTAGTAGACAAAATATAAAATCAAACTCCGTCCGGTAATCAAAAGTGTTTCCTCAGGGCGTCAATTTATTTCTCAACTTACATGTAGAAGAACAAGTGCTTTATAAAAAGTAAATTAGTTTTTTGAAGTTTTCTTTGAAATTCACGTTGAAAAATATCGTTTATAGAACATCAATTTCAATGATTGGCGATTACATATATTTAAACCAAGTTTTGAATATATTCAATAGATCATCATCATCATCATCATCATTATCATGTTTTCTTCTTTTTCCATCAAAATAAAATTATTACTGACTTAATTTTTTATACTACATTGAAAGCATAAAATTTCATTTTTGATAATTTGCAGCAACGATAATCTTGCTCTAAATTTTAAAAATACGTTTCACAATTGTCACAGTTGACATAATAATTTCAGTTGAGATTGGAATGCGCGAAAAAAATAATTAATCAAAAAAAAGTATTTTTCTTTTTTTTTCTGCTCGTGATAATAGACTATAGAAAAACATAATAGAGAAGAAATATTTCTCAGAAAATTCAATGTCCCCATAGTTAAAAAATAGACCGAGTTGAATTATTTAAAAACTCATTGTAAAAAATGCAAGGAATAATTTTCAATATAAAAATTTCTAAAGTCAGATCTCAACAAAAATTCTATTAAAAAAATTAAGAAAAAACTATTCCAAACTCAACTAAATTCTAAACTCGCCTGCCACATAATCAAAACGTTTCTATAATTCCAATTAATCAGATGAATACATAGATCGCACTAAAGCGAAACTAGTCGAAACTTTCTGTTGATCTATAATTGTAATACCAATAATCAAAGTTAAATGAATATTATTCATCTCTATTTTTGCATGACAATGAGAAATTTTCAGATTTCTGTAAAACGATTCATGTCACTCAAAATATCAAAGTCAATGATTCATGATAAATCAGACTCTCCTTTTATGATGATTAGTCTTCAACTGATCATAGAGTAGCTAAATAGTGTCATTAAACTATGTAGAAGGATCGACCACGAGTAATAGTTTGTATGATCTATAACTGAGAGAACATCTGAGAATATTAATTAAACACGTAGCCTTATTGTAGATGACTTTTATGAAAGGATTTATAGAATGCAAGTAAAGATTAATATACTTTGTGAAATCGTAGAATGAATCAATTGCAAACATATGAGATGATTGCAAAAAAACAGCTATCAGTTGCTAAGTAAACAACAAAAGACTCTATTTATGGTGCTGCAAGTAGCAGCATAGAATTCGTGATGATCTTAACTCACGATATCGAAAGATGTCTGAGAATTAGATCTAGATCATCGAATGACTAGATTTGAACTATTTTTTTTCTCTAAAAAGAGAATATTTGGATCTTCGCTCATGTTAAACTGTGCAAAATTTTCATTTAAAATTCTTCCGTAATATTTGATAGAAAAAGTAATTTCCACGGCTAAGAAAGAGATTTTTTTCAAGATATTCAATCACGAGAAGTTATGTGGATTTCGGTATTTTTAGATTTTTAACTGTAAAAACCTCGAGAACTAGTCATATTTTGACCTATTCTAATTATATTGATTGAACTGACAATAGTTTCAAGAAAAGAATTCTTCAAGCATGCAGAAGTTTTTCTGTCACCACTGAAACATCAATTATGAGTATTCTAGTGAGAATAAAACGCTTTAAGTGACTCTTCTACAAAAACAGCATTCCTCATCATTTTCGTGACAACAAATTTCATGTTCATTCGTCATGTCCCATCAGATTAAGCTATTGATCAATATGCTTACAGCAATAATGTTTTACAATCTCTTGTCAAAACAAATTAAAAAGCAGACACCAAACCTTCGTATCGATACTGTGCAACTTCGCTATCGAGATGGTAAACTGTATATTGATAAAAATGTTTTGTAAGTGTCTGAAATTGAAAATTATTCTTATTCTTTCACAACTATATGATATTTCAATTTTGATACTATATTCATTCTGGTTTAGTGATCTAGTCAAGATCAATTAAGCTTAAAAGAACAATGCCACATGCTGCTCGTTATCGTAACTGAGTTATATCATTTATTTTGAACAAGAAATGTCTTTAAAAAGTATTCTTTTAATAATTAATTTAAATGAAAATAAATAGAACAACTATTTCAAGTTATGAATAGAATAAAATCTTAACTACCTTTCCCCGTAATAAAAGACCGCGGATCTTCTATTATGTACCGTACAAATTTTTCAAATTTCGCTCATTTCTGCTTGCAAAAATGCAAAATTGCTGTGAAGCGATCCCTCCTGGGCGTTTAGTTTGCCGTTTGATTTATTTTTCTTTGAAATATTTCGAGTTTTACTATTTCTACAGATGTACATCGATGCATTCTAGATATCTGACAATAAATATTTAAAAAAAAATGATGAAAATTTTATCTCACTTATTCAGTTATCTTACACATTTTCCATTTTAAGTATCAATTTGCGCATATGCATCATGTCTAAAGCGCCCCTTCGTCTGCTTTTTCATCTCTAATTACTCAGTTGATAGTCCTATTGAATTTTTTCTTCTCTCTAAAACATTCACATATCCAAAAAAAAAACACTACAAAACAGATTTATCCAACTGAATATATTATCTACATTGCAATCATCGAAGCAGAATAATCAACGACCAACATACGCCATTAGAAGTACATGGAAGGGGGGTATTACAAAAGAAAATTGAATTTTGTTTGTTGATTAGGTTTAATGTCATGAAAGAAAATTATTTTTACGCATCAAAAATCTAATGATAATGATAAAAGGAGACTCATAATCATCTGATTGAAGCCTACTTACGCTTGACGAAAATATCATCGCTTTGGATTGACTGCGATTAGAACGTCCACATGCACCAGCCATTAATAAAGATATGCGAAATAAGTAAAAAGAGAATGTGTAAAGTAGTAAAAAATTCTGGCTACTATTAAGAAATGAAAGAAAGAAATATATATATATATATATGAAAATATCATAAATGACGTGACAATTTAATGATTGATTCTCATTTGTTAACTTACATTGTTGGTTGCTGCGTTGATAACTAATTAATTGACTTTATTTAGTGAAGAATTTCCTGACTAATTTTTTCATCAGCAAACTTGTTATCGGCGCACCGTATATGAACATAGAAGACAAAGAATTGTGTTTTTGTTTAAATTTTTAACTTGAAAATATGAAAGAGAGACTGATGAAATTGGTTGTCGGACAACAAGCTATCTATTTATATATGTGTGTGTGTGCGTGTGTGTGTGTGTGTTCTTCGTGAAGAGATCATACATCGAACGACGATTCTTTTGCATCTCATAATATTTCTCCTGTCAAGTTGCTGTCGTCGTCTTTTTTTTCTTTATTATATCAATATATGTGGATGTGTATGCTCTCTATTTTTTCTTCTCATTGCTCTTTTACTAAATCGTGTCCGTCATGAGACAAATTCATTTAAGCCAGAACTCAACATCGATGTTCTCTCATGTTTTCTTGTCTATCGGATAGTTTTGAGTTTTTTTCTCCTAAGTTTGTTTTTCGTGAATCTTGATTAACAACTTAGTTTTTTCGCTTAAAATACTCTCGGTAGGACAAAAGAGAAAGAGATTTAGAGAGACAGATATAGACGAATTGCTGAACGATAGTGATGTTGTTAATAATGATTGCAATACTCAAACAGCATTCATTCAGTTTCATCGTATTTTTTGAAAAGAAAAGAAGAAAGAATAGGAATAAACATACTCAATGTCAAGGAGGTGTAGAATAGTCTATGAAGTATCGATGCGGATGAAAAAAGAGATTTAGTAATAGCATCATGAGAACCCCCCAACAATCCTTCGTTTTCCTTCTCTCTTTCATGAAGAATAAAACCTTTTTCATCCAATTATTCACCGCTCTCTTCTTCTCTCCTTTCCTCTTCTCTTCTCTCTCTCTCTCGTTCTATATCATACTTCTCTATTCAAAAATAATGGAACCTGTAATCCATCTTAAATACCGCTAGTTAATGAAATTACCTAGAATATTTCTTTTTTTTTCTTTTCGTAAAACAGTAACTTGAAAAAAACAAACAAATGCCGAAGAAAATTTTTTTTTTAATGTATGTATCAATTATTCATCGTCAGCAGGTTGATATGCTGTCCAAGCAATATATATTGGAAATGTCAAACATGGTGAAATAATAAAAAAAAGACCCAATATAAAATTAACAATCAGGATTTTGATTTTTGATGGATGAATTGCATTCCTATTACTGGGAAATAAATGCTCATTTGCGATTAAAAATAAAATAAGACCAATCAACAAAGATACATAATCAAGAGACCAAATGATTGCTAATGGGTTGGCCATATTTGATGTTTCAGTTACATAACTTTTTTTAATCATGTCAGACGACCAATGCAAGATCATAGAAACAACTACAATAAAATATAGTGGAGCTGTTAAAATAACTAGTACTAATTGGCAACAAGTAATAAGTTGACGAAACTCGATACACCAGCAACGTTGATTAAATTCGGAACAGAAACGAAATGGTATTGATATAAGAGGAAAGCCAAGTGGAGATACAAGAAGAATGATCGACATTATAGAAGCGAGCCGTGTTTTTGATGAGAAAAAATATATAATATATGTTGGAACTATAATGGCTACAATTACGTATATAAGGCCCACATACACCAATTCAATGGAAACAGATGATTTACTTAATTTTTTCTTTGATGTATAAAATCGCAGATACGAAGGAATAAATAATATGGAAAAATAAGGCCCAATGCCAATGATAAAACATACTGTTTGAATTATCATTTGCCCGAGAAGTCCAGAAAGATCTGTTCGACTTGTTTCAATAATTGTATGATAAAAAACACTTGCATATGTTAATAAAAGTGAAATAATTATGTAACGATTCCATTCTGTAGAAAAATTATTATTAATAATTGAACGTATGTAACAAAGTGCAGTCGGCTCCGTATCAGCTTTACAGTTATTGAGTAGATCAGTAGATAAATCCAATTTAACAGATGTTATAACAAATCCAGCAAGACACGATAATCCTAATAGAATTGAAATAGTACTAACTGTAATATTAACAGCACGTTTTGATCTATTTGAAGGATTTAGTGATCCATCGAATTCCATATGTTGCATTTTTGTTTTGTTTTGTTTTAGTTCGCTGTTGGATGTATAAGTTTTTGTTGCGTTGATGTTTTACTCGTTTCACAAACTTTCTTTTAGATAAGAAACATGAGAACATGCGTTTGTTTTCTTTTCTTTTAAACATTAATTTTCGACAAATACGATGTCATCGCAAGAAAATATCACAGCTTATCTTATTTTTTTTACGCAAAAAGAAGTTTTATCATTAATAAAACAGAGTCATTCATATCCGTTGACAAATGATATTTGAAACATAATTTGACTAATTCGATTAAACTAGTCAATAGTAATGAAGAAAACAATTAATTTATTGATTATTTAAAGTAGAACTATGTCAATATTATTAATATCGCATCACCAATAGATGATTTATTTTTTGATAAGTCCTTTTTATTCTGTATGATTGATCGCTATGTCAAATTGTTCATCACGATGAAATAGCAACGAACTCCGAATGCTTAACGATTAATTTAAATATTTTTCTATGAAATCACAGTGTCTTTATCATTTTCGAAAGTACTATAAAGTAAATGTAGTTTTATTCGTATCATAAACAATCGACTGTTAGGAATATGTGAATATTCATGAGATATACATCCGCAAATAATTTATTTCTATATGTACGAGGCGTTCATGAAGCTACCATTACCCTTTCTTTTTATCTATGATATGTTGACTCGATTATTTTATCCATACATATATTTATATATGCAAATAATTATATAGCTATATTTAACCATTTGTATTTATTTGACCTCGTTCTATTTGCAGAATATTGCTTTCTATTTTATTTTTCTAGACTCATATATAGATTGAAATAAGTATACAGAATTGTTTTCAGGAAAGGAAGTGACAAAAAGGGCGCATCAAGTGTGTGAGAAAAAAAACGAAAATAATGAGAGACTTCATTTTATAGAGAATTCACGTGGAACTAATTCGTTGTTCAGTGCTATTAAGAAGAAATTAAACAATAATAAGAAAAGAATATTCTAAGTTCAAGCGTGAAAATTTTCAACAAAAAAAGCACGCAACAACACACGTACATTTAATATCACAACGAAATTTCTCAACAAATTCAAATTATAAGAACGATATAGAAAGATAAAATTTGTTTTCAGAAATAAATTGAGTGTTGTTGAGTTTTCAGATAAATCTATGATTTTCCTAGTCTTGAGGGTAATAATATTCAGATTATTGCAACATGGGATTTGTAGTATTTAAATTAATATTTGCATCGCGTAATAATTTTGCAAAAGCGGACGTTGGATTTGCTGCTAAACGCCTTGGTTCATCATATTCTTTTACGCGGCCTGCGGATAAAACTAGAATTCTATAAGAAAGAAAAAAACGAAAAACATAAATTATATCTGTGGAAATAAAATTCAATAGCATACTTGGTACTATCTAAAATTGTATGAAGTCGATGTGCAATAGTTAATACAGTTGCATTTTTGAAAGCTGTTCGAATTGTCATTTGAATTAATCGATCTGTTTCCATATCAATAGCTAAAATAAAACGAACAGTTTTACTTAATGGTTATAAACATAATTTTATTTCAATGTTCTTTCATTACCTGCTGTTGCTTCGTCAAGTACAAAAATTTTACTCTTTCGTAATAGAGCTCTTGCCATACATAATAATTGTCTTTCACCAGAGCTAAACGTCAAAAATATTGATTTCCAGTTGTTTAAAATACAAAATTTTACTCGAACTCTACCTTAGATTTTCGCCACCTTCTGTTAATAAATGTGAAAGACCATCATTTAGTACGCTGATACGTCCTTTCATATGTACTAGTTCTAATGCTGCCCAAATTGCTGCATCACTATAAGTGCCAAATGGATCAATATTAAATCTTACTGTTCCAGCAAAGATAACCGCATCCTTAATGTTAAAAAGAAAACGTTTCTATTTGTATTTTATTCGACATGAGTGCATTCAATTACTTGTGGAATAATAGTAATTTTTGATCGAAGATCATGTAAACCAATACGACGAATATCAATATTATCAATAATTATTTCACCACCTGTAGGTTCAATAATACGAAATAATGTTATACATAAACTACTTTTTCCACTGCCTGTACGTCCAATAATACCAATCTGATATAGGATTATAAAAATAATTTTATTTCATTTGCTTTTCTTTTTCAATGATCTATTTACCTTTTCTCCTGGCTGAATATTAACTGTAACACCTTTAAGAACTAACTTTAAATTTTCTCGGTATCGTGCTGTTAAGTTATTAAGTCTGAAATAGAATAAAAATTAAAAAAATTATGAACACAAAATGCAAAGATTACAGACTGAATTTCTCCAGTAGCAGGCCAATCACTGGGTGGCTTCTTTTCAGCTATTTCCCAGGGTGCTTCTGGTTCTAATTCAGCATATTCATTTACACGTTCAACACTAACAATATTAGTTTCAATGTCGCTTGCCATACGAACGAGCCAATTGAGTGACTGACTTATTTGCATTGCATACGTTATTGTTAAACCAACAATACCTGCTGTAAGATGAGTACGCATGAGAACAGCAAATAGTGCTGTAAAGAATGTTAATGCATTGGTTATTGATTCAAGGCGTACTGCCAACCATCTATGAATTAAGAAAAGTATCTGTATATATCATTTCTACACATTTTAACTTCTGTTTTCTGTAGTATTTAAGAAAGCAATCGATACTATGAAATGAAACATTGTTTGTTTTGTGAAGTTTCAATGTCGAAAATTCTACTAAAACTAGTTAATTGTATAAATCTCACCTATTGGCGACACAACTAGCAAAGTAACATGCTTGATTTTTATCAAGTAAATGATCTGACATATCAATAAAACGTTGCTGTGCATTATAAGCTCTGATGGAGCTAAGGCCTTGAACTGTTTCTCCAAAATTTGAATATACGGGACTACGTGTAGTCGAATCAAGACGTCGAAGTTGCCTTGACGATGCTACATAAACACGCTAAAATAGAAAACAATAGAATAAACAGATAAATTCAATTTTTGATTATTGAAAAACTTTTTTCATCACAGTACCTGTATGAAGGAAAAAAGTATAGCAAGCGGCACTAATGCAAAAACAGCAAACCACGAACCATAAATAAGTATAATTATAGTTATCAATACAGCGATTAATGTTGAAAATGAGGATGAAAACGAAGATGGTAAGGATGAATCAATCGCATCGATATCTTTAGCAAAGCGATTTATTATTCGTCCTATTGGTGTTGTATCAAAAAAAGCCATAGGTGCACGTAACACGCCAAATAATATAGATGAGTGTAATTTTCTACTAGCAACATAAGCAGCAAAATACACGAAAAATTGCATAGTGAAAGACGCAAGACCTAAAACAAACAAGAGCATAACACTAGATTCTAAATCATTCTATTCTACAATTGAGCATAGCTAATAGCAACGAATTAATCAAAACTAGAATGTATTTTTTGTTTTTGTTAACCTCAAGAAAAACAAATGGAATAAACATTATAATCATAATCGGTATTGTTTCGGGCAGATAATGAGCAATAAGAATAAAACATATAATAAAACCAAGTAATGCATTAAGAGTTGAACGTAATGTAAACATAATACTATTATCGATCATATCAATATCATTTGAGCAACGATTGATTATTCGACCGAATGGTGTTCGTTCAAAGAATGATAATGATAATCGAAGTATTTTAAGAATAAATCGATTATGGAGTTTACGTGATGCATACAAACTTGTTTTAAACATAATATATGTGCCTATGAACTCGAATACAACTGCAAACATATTTATTTTATAATTCATATTATTCAAAAGAATTTTTCTTAATGCTAAAAAAAAGAAGTTTTACAATGATTTATTACCTTGACAAAGGCCCAATATTGAATAAATAGCTATGCCACGTAGTTTACTAATTGATCCTGATGTTACATTAGCTGACATTGATTCATTTTTAGATCGATCCGTCCATCTTGATAACCATACATTTGTACTCAATGATAATAATGCCGTAAGAGAAAATAAGCAAAATATAAATAAAACCATTGGTACTGTACACGCACGAATATAAGTAGTAAATACATTTAGTTTAACCTAAATTTTTATATTCATCTTTCGAAATTGATATCAAATTAAATTGAACTTACTGAACCCGTTTCAATAGTTTCTTTTTGAATAAGTACTTGTTTTGTTTCTTTTGGTTCATTTAAGTGGTTTTCATCGGTTATTAATGGAGTTGTTGGTTCTTCCTCTTGAGCATCATCTTCAATGTCATCTTCAACCACTTTCAACACATCTTCATTTATTTTAATCGGCGATGTTGATGGAGTTTTAGGTTCTAAATTTATACAAAAAAAAAACGAAAAGGGTAAAGGTTTGACTAGTACCATTAGTAGTCCGTGTGATTCCATGTGCGATTTGTTTCAGCCTCAAAGGTTTTATCAAGGTATGCAAGATCATACTAATCATGACTAACACAAAGGGCAACGTTAAATCGATGGATTATCACATCAAATAACTTATCGATAAACACATGTTTGAATCGATCGGCCAGACAGATGTCTAACTACGACGGCAATCCGACCGATCATCAAATATCGATGGATTCCAATATAAGATGATAACGATTGGCATGATGAAATTACATAGAGAAAAAGAATATGTTCCACGTTAGTCTAATGTTCGTATCTAACCTACATCTATCTGCTCTAGTAATACGTTTATTAAGGAAAATTACTAGTCAATAGAATTGCATAGTTAATTATCATATATTTATTAAAATATCATAGAGGATTGTTGACTGTTAAAGGAATTTATATAGACGTACCTTTCTTTTTCTGAACTAATAATTTTAAACGAGAACTTCGAAAAAGCTAGCAAGCATTCGTCGTTCTTATTGTTATTTTAATTCTATACATTAATCTAAGATTAAAACTTCATTCATCAGAATGAATGAAAATCTACTTAATATTCTCACGAAAGAAAAAGAATATAATAAGATCTTTACCTGTATCACTCGATTTTTGTTCAGTTTCTTTTGTCTCAATTGAATATACAAGATCATGAAAAGTTTTACTTTTTTTCATTAATTCATCGTACGATCCATGATCAGTGATTTCACCAGATGCAACAACAACTATTTTGTCACATTTATGTAAATATGACACACCATGTGTTACTAGAATACGAGTCTAAAATAAATGAAAACGAATATATAATTCGATAAATAGAAAATATAATTATTTTACTTTATTTTTTAATAAACCATTTGGCCCAATAACATATTTAAAAATATGAGCACCAACATGTGCATCAACAGCTGATAAAGGATCGTCAAGTAGATAAATATCGGCATCACTATATAAAGCTCGAGCTAATGCGACTCGTTGTTTTTGGCCACCCGATAGATTAATACCCTATTTTAAAATGTAATGTTATATACGACTTGTTATCAAAATTCTATTATGTTTACCTTCTCTCCAATTTCTATTTCATCTCTTTCTGGCAAATGTTCTAAAAATCCAAACGACAATGATCAAAAGGAAAAGCTAGCGAAGTAAATTTTATCATACCAAAATCTGATCGTAATTCACATGCATCAATAATTTCATTATATAATTTTTCATCATAATCTTTTCCAAATAAAATATTTTGCTTAAGTGTTGCATTAAAAATCCATGCTGTTTGTGGCACATAAGCAATTGTTCCGCTAATAGTAACTTGTCCATTAATTTTACACATTTCACCAAGTACAGCTGCTAGTATACTACTTTTGCCTGCACTTACTGATCCAACGATAGCAACAAGTGAACCTTGGCGAACTTTAAAATTAATACTATAAACGCAAACAAAACGAAAAATAATGATTATTTTCTTAGTCCTATTTCTTTGTTTTTTCTTATACTTTGTTAATATAACCGAAGCATTGGTTGCATTTGACCATTGAAATGAACCATTCTCAATTTTTATTATATTATGTTCAGAATCGATTGCTGTCTTAATGACGGCAGCTTCATCGATTTCTTCATTGTTTAAAAATTTTTGTATACGCTTATTTGATACATTAGCCTAGACAAATGATTCATCTATCGTGAAATATATATTACCAATATTATCTATGTATTTACCTCAATAATACTATTGATAATAGTTGGAAATACAACAAGTGGAAATCGAAGTAAATTAAATAATGCTAATGAAACAAAAGCTTTTTCAGCTGTTAAAATATTATCCTCTGATGAGAATACATATGCAGCAAATGTTGCAATGCATACCTTTGAAGAAAAAAAAGCAATAATTTAATGAACGTATTTCATAGTTAATAAAAATTTATTTACAAGAATTGGTGCGAATGCCCATATTGCACTTGATACAGCGTTTAGAAAAGCTTTTTGGCGTAAACATTTCAGTTCTTTTTCACGTACATCATTTATTCGTCGAATGAATGCTTGTTCCCATGCATACAATTTTAAAACTTTGATTCCATTAAGAATTTCATTCATCATTTTTATTCGTTGATCTTTTAATTTCATTTGTTTGGTCTAAATTCGATTTTGACAAAAAAAGGTTATTTTGTTTTTATCAAAATATACGCGTACTGTTAGTTTTTTTTGAACTCTTTGTAGATATAAGTTCATTGGAATCAAGAGAAGTAATAATATAAGACCAGGAATAATTGCTAATTGCATTTGTCGATAAAGTAATACAAGTGCAAGAACGATTTGAAATGGTCCTATTAGAAGAAAACAAAACTGATTTAGATGTCGACGTCAACGAGTATAACTTATACTGCTTACCCGACCATAAGACATGTATATATGAAGTAAGGTCACCGAAACGTGAAGCATCAATTGACATCTATATTTAAATTAGAAAAAACGAAAACGTCAAGTAACTTTTACGGTATGAACATAATCTATTTACTAAATTAACAATTTCTCCAGTTGTTGTTCCTTGTTTAGCTGAATTGGATAGTTTCAAACTCTATATGATAATAAATTTAAAACATTTCATGAATAAGAATAGATATACCATACCTTTCGATATACAAGTGCAGTGATAGCTGAACGAAATCGAAGACCAACAACATATTGTCGATGGAAGTAAGCTTGTAAAAATAATGTTTGACAAATAACGGTTGCACCAAGTAGAGCAGCATAAAATACGCCAAGCCATCCTGGTGCTGTTGGATCCGTTAAAAAAGTAAGAACTTGCCTAGATAAAAACAAAATCATATTTTGAAAAGATAACCAAAACAAAAATATTCTACTTGAGAATCATGGGTCCACTGAATTGTAAAACATCATGAACAACTTTCATTAAGCCACCAGCAATTAATTTGCCTTTGTATGCTCGAAAGAGAGCTCGCCAAAATACAATCGGTGTTCGAATTCCTGCAGGCTTATTTTTTATTTCAACCGACGGCTGTTATTTTTTTTTTTTTGGGAAAAAAGCAATCAGAAAAATTAAATAAATACTAATCACTTACCAATTGTTTTAACTACGAAGAAAATGAAATTAATTTGTATAGAAAATTCTGTAATAAAAGACACATAATACAAAACTTACTAAATCTCGATTTTCATCTTCAACCTTTTTCCTCTCAGCGGTATCATTTTTATTCCAATTTCTAGTCTTTTCATAGGCAATTGATTTTGATCGACTGGCTGCTCTAAAAAGTGCACCACAGCAAAAATAAAAAGTATACACAAATATTTTTAAATACTACTAACCCTTCGAAACAAGCTTTTACTCGATGAACAATGTTAATAGCTCGTTCAGAGATTTCCAATTGCCAACAATCTTTTTCAGTTAATGGTTTTCGGTATCCACGAATAATAAGTGGTGTTACCCACCAGAAAGTTATACGAGACGGAAAATTTCGATATAACTCAGGTACAGTTGGCTAGAAATAGAAAATAAAAAAATTTGAAACGATCTTTTATTTTTAACCAGTACAATAAGTTACTGTTTCATCGGCTGATAATGCAGGAAAATTATAACTTTCTGCGAGACAATGTGTGACAAATGAGCCCAATGCAAAAATAGCATGAAGCCAAACACGTATGACTTCTCGCAGCACATAGATTGATTTTTTCTAGATAGGATTTATTAAATAGATTCTAAAAAGTTGTAATAAATAAAAATAGTTTACTCCTTGATGATAGTCCATTGAATAATCAATCACATCTGGTATTATAGTTAAACATACTAATAGCCAAAAGCCAAAAAGGAGACCAGAACAAAACATGCCTTTACGACGTTCATAATTCAATAGCCAAAATATAATCAATGATGTTATTAAATATAAAATTGGACTTATTATATTGGCTAGATTTTGCTCTGTATCCGATGGTAGCACATAATAATACACAATACGAGTGATTTGAACCATTAGAAATAGAACAGTCAACGTCTATGATATAATTTAAAGTAATTGTTCAGTACTATACTCGTATTTTATGTTAGTTATATTTAGTAGTGAACCAAAAGGGTCGTTCGATTTCAAAAACATTCTAATAATATTTCATCAATATATGAAGCTCATTGAACATTTATGAAAGCTTGCTGGTACTTTATTGTAATTCTGCCAGACTAGGCTGGAAGTTATTTCAATACACTCATCCTTCGTATCAGGAATTAGAAAGCATTGATAATAATCCTAGAGTAAACTGAGCGATTACTACTAGTGATCAATCATCCATTTTTATACAATTCGGAAGACGTTTATCTGATATTGTAATTGCATGGTGCTTGGCGTGATCAGCTATGACTAACTAAGCACACCATTCAATAAGGGTACCACACTCGCTTATATATATATATATATATATGATCAACAAGACGAACTTATTTAAGCATGATAAAAAAGTTTGGGTCAATATTCGATTTAATCGTATTGCGTTATTTTACGCATAATGTGTATTGATCAATCGTATATTTATTAATTATTATGAATCCAAATCAAAATAATCATTCTGCTAGTGGAAGCTAGCTGATTCAGCGCTACTAGTAAAGCTGAATGAAAAGTTTATTACAGAAAGATTTTATATTCATTGTTTTAGAATTGTAAAGTGTACAAGTCTCGAATCATCTGTGCCAATGAATGTAAGAATAGTGAAAGTATATCATGTACAACATTTAATAAAAGAAGAGTGCTCAGAAACAGAAAAAATCCAGTAAAGTTTGCTTTCGACTAAGGTTCTTTTGTAACATCACAATATTTCACCATATGTATCACATATGATTTCATCTAAGACTTAATATTTATTTGAAACATACACTGCTCCATCGTCCGCCTTGTTCTGTAGATCTGGGTCCCAGCAATTCACTTCTTTTTCACATTTTCAATAATCAACTCAAAGGAAAGTACTGCAAGTAATCGAAGTTGATTAGATTCGTCATTAAATCAGAATATTAAACATCTGTCTGAAGATACCTTCATACCGTAGCCGAGCAAAGCTGTTACAACGTTGGCAATAGTATATTGAGGTAACGGCAATACTTCAACAAAGAAAACACATATATTTAACTTATATATATATATATATATATATAATAATTATAAATCATTCGTTTACAAAAATAAAATAAAATCAATCTCAAAATTCAGAGAATAATCGTGACAATAAACTGTCAAGCAGCTATGTTATATTAGTAGACGATCATTATTGTATGTCTTCGGTATATTGTTCACAGTCGAGTGAAAACATCTGATAAATTCAATCGCTTTAACAAGTTCGAATAGTTATTTCTCATGCTTTCTTCTATTTTTTGTTTGTAAAATTATCCTTCCGGTATAGTAGTTTTGTTTAACATTCAATAAGAGAAGGCGTAAAAATGGAAATATTTCATACTATAATAGCTATACAATTATAAATGCTTTGGCAAGTTATAGACCTCATAAAACACGTAGAAAATTATTGTGAATTTTTTGTGTATGAATCTCAAACAATACTGAATAATAAACCTAGTAGATACTGCTACTTTCTCGCTAATTTTCTTTCTAAATTTCAAAATAAATGCAAATAAGCACATGCACATCTTTACCGCTTTAGTAGTAAACAAAGCTGAAAATGGCAATGGTCTTGGTTGAATTTTTCTTTCCGATAACATCCATAGCCATAATGGTAAAACCAACCAAAAGACACTCAGTGGAAACCATTGTAAAGCCGTATCACGAAAGCACTCAGTTAAATAAGGATACGGCGCTTTTGTTATATTTTTATCCTGTGTAATAAAAACATCATTTAATAAAAGACAAAATACGGATCATTTGTATAAAAACACACCCAAAATGGAGTCGTACACAACCGAACCATTTTTTTTTTCTAAAACATAATGCAAACTAGATATGACGCTTGTTGCTTTGCGTTTTAAAAATAGTGTATATTAATTCATTCACTCATCAAATACAAAAGAGCCAGAATAAGGAGTCACTTTTTTTATTTCAACGTTTTCTTTTCTTTCATTTTGCGCAGTTTTTCGATTGAGTTAGAACATACAATAAACATGAAGGAAAAAAACAGAATGATAAAAATAGCCAAATATTTATAAATAACCTTGATCGTTTCGTTTTTGTTTTTTCAATCACAAAAAAAAACAATCTTTCAGCAATCCATCATAAGAACATATTTCCTAAATTTACATGTTTAACACGTGTAGTAATCTAGACTGTTAGTATAGAACAAAACAGAAAAAATAGAAATAAAACAGGACGAATACCACATACAGATAGACAGACGTAAAATGATAATAAAGAAAACCAATCATTATAAAATATGACTAAAATGATTTAAGCTTTGCATAAATTCTCAAGAGCATCACTTGTGTTCCAATGCACTGTCGACAATGCTGAACGAGCTTTTTCCTAGACAATAGAAATAATCCAAGCAATTATTTCCGATATCATCAGAAACAAAAAATTTACTTCAGAAAAACCCATTTCAACTAGACTTGCTACAGCTGCATCACATTCCGGTTCAGGAGTTGGTCCTAGAAAATTTGATAAGACATATGCATTGTGATTTTAAAAATTTTCATGTACCATTTGCATATACATTTGCCCAATGTCGAGCTGTTTTTTCAAACAATCTTCGATCCTTTTTATATTGATTAGCAACAACTAAATGAAAAGAATTTGTACGAAAAAAAAATATATATATATGTATTATCAACAATTTTAATATTACCTGCATCTTGTGGATCATCTGGTTCTGGTGTTGCAAGTAATGCTTGTAAACTAAGCAATACTGTTCTTATAGTCATTGCAGCTGCCCTATTATAATATAATTAAATAATAAACATAATGGTATCGGTTAATGAACATCTTATGAATTCTCGTACCATTGATCTTTAAGAATATCAAGACAAATCGCTCCAGTTACTGAACTAACATTTGGATGCCAAATTTTTGTTGTAAATCGAACTTTTGGTGGATTAAATGGGTAGGTATCTAAAATAAAAACTCATTTATAATTTTTGTTTCTATTTCTTTGTTCAAATCAATTACCAACAACAATAATATCAACATAGAATCGACCACCAGCATAGGGCGTGTCTGGTGGTCCTTGAATAGAACCATTTAAATAGATTTCTTTCTTATTTGATTGTGATCCTACATTAGATGTATTTCTGGTCAATTCACCTTCTGGCATTTTTAACTCGATCCCATTCTAGAATACAATAAATAATCATTTAAAGAAAAAAATAATAGTGCTTTATTAGAATATCTTACAGATTCATTTGTGATGACCTCTTTGAATTCTTTCATAATACGATTCATTGCGATATTCATGATTATTGCTGGTTCGATTTTTGTTTTATAATAAATTATGAAATATTTTATATCTGGAAACTGTGTACTATCATATGTTTGTAAAATAGAAATATCAAAAGTGAAATTTATCTATGGTTGCCATGAGCATGACGAAAACAATTCTTATTTGCCTAAGACTTTCTTTATTGAAGATTTTTTTTTTTCTGTTGTTCTACACACAAAAAAACTGAACACACTTATAAACTCGAATGTACGGCACAAAAGAAAGAAAAAAGAACAAAACAGAGAGCAATACAAGCGGCTAAATAACGTGCACCAAAAACAAAACAACGAAGATAAAAAGCAGAAAAAAGGAAGAATTCTATTGTTTTTTGCTAGAAAAATAACTGAACAAAAAAAAAACACATACGTAAGGTTGAATCTTACCAATAATATAATACGATGAACAGGGTTGCACAAAATACTGCTGCATAGACGCAAGCGACTGTTGTTTATCCCTTTTGAAACCGAAAAAAAAATCATGCAAAGGTATTATGACTCTAAACCCGGACGGGGTGCTTAAATATCACACACACACACACACACTCAAGTCAAAAAAAATGAAAAAGATTTTTGCTCAATAAAATATAAGCAAACAAATAAAAAGATTCGTCTTGAGCTTTTGTTTTGGTAATCATTTATGTTCGAAAAAGAGAAACCAGTGTCCACTGATTAGCACCAAAAGAAGCATTATGACATGTAGAATTCTTTGTGATTCAAGTTAATCTTACATATATGTAAGCTCCTTCCTGAGCTTGCCGAAAATTGAATGTCCTGAGCTATAAACATGAAGATAGAGCAAACAAGAAAAAAGAAAACAAAACCGGATCGGTGTAATACAAATAATAATAGTAATAATGATGCAAAATCATACGGTGAACAAAAACAAGAAAGAAGAGATAGACAATATGAGATTTAACGTCAACAAAAAAAAAGAAGTAGAACAGCAACAGAAAAAACCAGATTCGTTATTGATTTTTGTTTTTTTATTGCTACATAAACACAACTGGAAAAAGAGAAAGAACTACAATCATGAGTGTATGTTTCATAAAGAAAACAATAGGAAAACAAACTAGTGAAAGACTGGCGCTAGACACAAGAAGAAGAAGAAGAAGAAGAAGAAAAAGAAAAGAAAAGAAACGAAAACTATACCTAGTGTGTAATAATAGAACATCACTGCGTGCTACCTACATTGCACACACACGCAAACAAAATCAATAATAATGCATAGCTTTTAGAGCAATAGGTATTATATTTGTCAATTTCGTACATTCGTTAATTGTAATACAATTACGCCTTGATTTGACTCTGAGTATCTAAATACATTGTTTTGTTATAAAAGTTGAATAATATATTCTTTTATTTTAAAATGATTATATTTTTTTCTATTTACTTGTAATTTCGTTGTTCCAAATACGCAAGAATACCTGAACGCATTTCCCCATCAGCACCACCATAAGCAGAATTTTGTTCATAAACAATTATAATTTCAGTTGATTTTGGACTTGCTGCTCGATTTTCTTTATTAAAGTCTTGTTCTATTTGTTTCAATAAATTTAATGCGTCATCTAGACGCAAACCATAAAGATCAAGTCTTTGTGTCGCACCATATTGTTCCAGTTTCCTTCGTGATAAATGTTCACGTGCAGCTCTATGAGCATCTTTCATTAATCGAGTTTCTTCACTAGCTTGATGAATATAAAAGGAGGCAATACCAGACAATCCATGACGATTTACTTGATAAGCTTTTGTATAACATTCTTTACGTTGTTGTGCATGACGTAATGCATCAAGTCGTAAAGTTTGATAATATTCAAGAAAAGGTTTAACATCTGTTTTTCTTGTTGATATGGAACCTGAACATGACACTAATGAAGGCTTATTTGTTGGTATTGAAGCATGCTCATCAAGCATTGTTGATATCAAAACACATGTAACATCATAATTATATTCATTGTTACGAAATATATCATAGAGAAGATCAGACTTTAATGATGGAAAATTACGTTCGAGTTCTTTTAATTTATATTCAGTGGCATAATCAAGTTTATGTTGCTAAAACATTTCGAAAAATAAACATTATAAAAATCGAATGCAGAGAAAAAATAGAAGCTTCTATTATCTGTATTTAGAAGAAAAAAAGTTTATTATTTTCTATATCTATGATTATTAATAAAAGAATCTCATTGAATTTCTCATTTATAATAGATAGAAAGTAGATTTTTCCACGAAATTTAATAACGTAATGACACAGAACCCAAGAATATTATTTATATTATATTGATATCTGAATAAAAATTATTTAAAAAGATGCTAAATAAAACAAAATTAAAAAGTTTCAATACAAGATCTACTCAGAAAAAACTATTCATACATAACTACGTTCAGAACAATTTTTCAAAAAAAGAATAAGAAATACACATGTAGAAAGAATGTTTGTATATTAATGAAATATGCACAAAAGTGATATCAGTTACCTTAGTAAATCATTATAAATTTGATAAATTCTATTTGTTTAATGTATAGATATGAAAGTTTTGTTTTCTTTCAGGTTAAATTTATTGAATTAAGTGAATAAAAACAAATCTAGTTTTTCATACCTGTTTTGAGTTTTTAGATTCCACTGTTTGTTGTAGTTCTTCATTCAAAATATGTCGAGTTGATGAATACTGATTTGTATTCATATTCGATTGATTATGTGATGGTAATATCAATTGTTGAGTAGGATTTTTCTTTTGTTCATTATCATATTTTGTTGGATTTTCAATCACCGGTTTTAATGTTGAGCTTGATTTGATTAAAAATCTTTGTAATGCTTGATGAATACTCATTGATAAATCATCATCCAACGATAATAATACTTTATTGTCATTATTATTATTTGGTAACTCTCCATATAATTCTTCTAACGAATTATTAATTGATGATGGAATATTTATTTGATTTGAATCAATAGGTTCAATATTTTCATTATTTGAAATTAATTCTTGAAATATTTCATTATCATTTATATTTGGAAGTAAATCATCGATTGAATTGATATCCACTAATAGATTTGTAGATTTAATTTGTTCATCCCATCGATTTAATATAGTTAAACTTAATTGTTTAAGTGTAGGAATAAATATTGGTTTTCGTTCAAGATATCCTTCAATATGCGTTCGTGTCGATTGAATATCAGAACGGCAAACTTCATAAAATTGTCGTATTGTTTCTTCTGACAAGCGATTTGAATAAATTTGAATTAATATATCAATATTGTTATCAATTAAGTCAACTTGAATACCGCATTCACTATAACCAGAAGGTGGTGATAATGGTGCTGATACTAGTAGAGATTTAGTTGAGAGACATACTGGTTGACCAATCAAAGTTCGATCGGAATGATTTAGTTCAGAATTAAAATCATTCGATGAACATTGTATTGAAATATGTTTTGTTGATATTGATGGATAACATGAAGGTTTATTAAATTCATTATCAATAATATTTATTATTTCACAATTTTCAGAGTTAATGAATTGTTTTTCATTATTAGATGAATCATTCCTAAGAAAAAAGAAGATAGCGACTTGTTCTCTTTTGTGTTCTACTAGTTGATGCAATATGTATATCAATTAATCTCATTGACATTTCTTCTATGGTAATTTTTATGACAATATTTATTTCTTTAAAGTGAAAAAAAAGCTCATGAATAAAACAAGGCAAATATTTGTTTTGTTTTTATCCATTCAATTGGAGAACAAGTGTGTACAAAATACGTCTTTAAATACAGTGTCTGATTGAAAATTTTTCAGTTCCAGAGGGTTAGTTGAAAACGTCAGAAGGGCAAACACTTATATTTGTAAGGATAGACACATGCAATGTGTTACAATACAAACTTCGGAAAGAACAAACCGATGTTTAGTGACTACCATCCTTTCTAGTCTCTACAATTGATAAAGAACTATTCGTAGGAAAAAAGATCATAATCGATCTTTTTTCTGTATGTAGGAGAACAAAACTAATAAGAATTTAATTTACTTTAGAGAATCTATTTGTACACCAAAATTTCTATTATCTGTATCATTGCTTTCGTCAATAACAACAAAATCTGAACAATCTTCAGCAAGAATAACATTAAAAGTTGCTTGTTGATGTGGAGTTTGTTTTTGTTTATTGATTTTGATGTTTTTATTATTATTATTATTGTTTACATTTAAAAGAATATCATTCGGCTGTTGTTTAGCTTTGTTTTTTCGTCGCTTTTTTGCGATAACACTTGATTGCTCTGATATTGGTGGTGTTAAATTAGTTGTATCAATACAACGTGAAAATGTTGAGGTTGGTAAACGTAAAAGATGTTCAGTTAATCCATGATCTGGACATGTTGTTGAAGAGAAACGTGTTAATGGACAATGAAAACGCGTACGCGGTGTTAATGGCGTCGAAGGCAATGATGTTGTTGTTGTTGCTGTTGACGATATTAATGATAAATCATGAAATGAAGCAGATAATGGTGTCGAACATTGTGATGTTGTTGCTGTTGTAGTTGTCGTTGTTAATATTGATGTTGATGATAATAGTGTTGTTTGATAGAAATTCGATGTTAAAAATAAAATCATATCATTTATACAAAGACGTACATCATCGAGTATTAATGAATCATCAATTATATCGTAGAATTTTTTTGATGTTGGCATCGAATCGTTTAGATCACTATTCTTATTTAGATTTTGTTCTTGTGTTGTTGTCGATTTATTTGTTAGTTTTACTGATGGAATTTGATTAATTATACTTTGAACTGTGATATTATGTTCAAAACGATTTAGCATATCTTTTATACGTCGTAACGGCAAGTTATGAACATTTCGTCTAAATAAAAACAAAAATAATTAAGATAATAAGAAATAAATAGGATTTACTTGAATAATTCTCGAGCGTTATAACGCCATGGAGTTTGAGGTTCAACTAGAAGAATATCATAATCACCTTCTTTACCCTATAAACAGAAAATTAACAGATTCATATTTAATTAATCGGGAACATTAACACTGAACACATACCATTGCAATATATGGTTTCATTTCCCATGCTTGTGTATTTGTATTATCGATTATAACTGGAGATATATTTCGTTTTAATGAATCCGACGCTAGATGGAGAAAAACAAATATTTACTATAAAATATTAGCATCTAAAATTATCAAACCTCGCCGACAATTCCATCGATGTGCATCATCTAGTTTATTTGAATCGAACATATATTTATTTGAATTATTATTTGTAAAATAATCGTCTGCCGAAAGTATGACACCATTATAACCATGATTAATTGCTCTTTAATAGAAGATAGTTTAGGCTTTTTATTTTTAAATTTAGTTAGAAATAAATACTTACTTAGCTAATGTTGATTTTCCTGAGCCTAAATTCAAAGAAAAGTTTTATAATTTTAAATCAAGTAAAGAATTATATTTATTTTTCAACTCATTTAATTATCAAATGACATATCAACTTCATACTTATTTTAATTGCTTTATGTCAAAATTTATAGAAGTTTTCTTACTGATCAAAACCACAAAACAATGTTTTTAATAATATTCACTTGGAAAATGCCTGTGGCTATTGGCATCGCATATTTTTGACTTTACAAAGAAGAGCCGGCAATTGTTCACTATCGCCCTTTCTGATCGCGCTAACAAATTTCCGCATGGAAAACCAGGAAGTAACCAGAAAATTTACTTAGTACTAATTGAAAGCTTAGACACGAGTCGCAACTAATCGAATATTTCTCACTTCACAATATTTCAACGTTAATAAATATGAAGCATCTAGTTTTTCTCTATCGGATAGTATTGAAGCAACTAAGACGAAATCTGCAAAAAAATAATACATAGAGTTGTAAATAAATAATAGAGAAACGAGTTTATTTTAGAAATACAAAACATTTAATGCCATAAACCCAATATACCAAAAGAATGAAATCCTTTCACTGTTATCTACCCATGCGCATGACAAATTTATGTATGTCAACTATCGTACTGTTGTATTCGAAAAGTTTCAAAATAAAATGTATATTTACCGGGGCATCCTCTCATCATAATTAATAATCTTTCATTAGAATTAAGTTTTCTATGTATATCATCAACAATAAGTTGATTACAGTCCTTCGGTACATGATTATCTATAACAATAGCACGATCATTGCTATCTTTATCATCGAAATCGTCTTCAGATGTAAATGTTGTTGTTGTTGTATTCTCACTCGTTGATGTTAATGATAATGGTGGTGATAAAGATTTATGCGTTTGTTCGTCCACTATTAATTTTTCCGATGAATTATCATTTACTACACGATCAATTTTTTTCGTTTTTTTCGATTTTACTTCAATCCAATCATCAATTATTTCTTGTTGTTGTGGTGGTGGTGGTGGTGGTTTAGGAAGAGAATTAGCTTCAGATGCGGGTAAATTACGATTATTATTAAATGGCTGACGTCGATGAGAATTTGTATGCGACGATGATGATGATGATGAATTAACTTGTGCTCTTTGCTGTTGTTGTTTATTTGTGCGATCTTTTGGCGGTAATTTGTTATGAATATGATTTGTTGATGGCTGTTGTTGTTGTTGTTGAGGTTGACGACGTTGTTGTGATTGTTGAGCATTAGTATTGGCTTTATTTGATTTGTTATTTTCAGATGTTTGAGAAATGATTGTTGAATATGTTATTGGTGTTACTTTGGCTGGAGGTGATGATGATGACGATGATAATGATAATGATGATAAAGTTTTATTATTATTATCATCTTGACTAGAATTTGGAGTATTTGTTAATTCAATCTTTGAATTCGATTGAGATAGGATAGCATTTGAACTATCTGCTAATATTTGAGGATTATCATTTGTATTATCATTATCGTTGTTATTATTATTATTATTATTATTATTATTATTATTATTATTATTATTATTATTATTATTATTATTATTATTATTAGTTGAATTTTTTTCAGAAGAAGTATCTATTGGCTCAGTAATATCTTCTGTATGTTCAGTAACATTCGATGTTGTTTGAGTATTAATTGTGGTGCTATTTAGTGGAGGAAAATTTATTTCATCGTTTATTAAAATATTATTATCTGATGACGACGATGCACTATCATGATGCAACGGAACCCATTCAGCGGCGTCTGGGTTTAAAAATGAATTTGATGGTTGAGTCACTTCTGTATTGTTTAGCATGTATCCAGATAGTGATCCATCCATCGCATATGGTGAAAAGTAAGGATGACCATGCGATGACATTGGTGTTTGTAGATGTGACCAAAGAAGTGGATTTGGCGCTATGTTCATCATTTGTTGCTGAAAAGCAAGCATTTCAAACTCATCGGGCGGACGAATATTATAAGCAACATGACCTGGTTGGTAGGCGGCAGGTGGATAAGTATAAAGAACACCGGGTGGTGTCGCCATTAAAGGTGGTGGTAAATGCGAAGGATGATAGTGACTATTACCACGTGGTAATATACTACGATAACGTCGGCCATTTGTTATTGTGGCTGTTGTTGTTGTTGTTGTTGTTGTCGATGTCGATGTCGATGATAAAGTTGATGTTGATTGTGAAGTTGTTGATGTAGTCGATGGTACTTGTAGATTAGATTCATTCTCATTTGTTGATGTTTGTCTCAAACGTGGTGGTAAATTTTGAGGAGAGATTGCTGTTGAATTACCGCTTTGATTATCCCGTGATGAAGGCGATAAAGATGATGATAACTGTGATGATGATGATGGTGATGGTGGCGTTGGAATAAACATTAATGGTGTTGGTTTTTCAATTAATGATGGTGGCAATGGTTGATAATAGTAATAAGGTGGTGGTGGTGGTCCATATGGATGACCATTCATATAATAAAGTGATCGATGATATGACATAGATGAATATCTAGGTTTTGAATAATACGATTTTCTTGATGTATGTTCATGTTCACCATGATTAACTGTTGTTTCCGTTGCCTCATTTGGTTGCTGTTTTTGTTCTTCATCGATAGTTACTATTAGCAGACTAGTATTGATTAAAGCTCCACTATTATTAATTCCATTTATGACATTATTCTGTTCTAGTGCAGATATTGATTGATTACTGAAATACAATTTATAAAGCAAAAATATATTTTATTTTAAATCAATAGAACATATTTCTATTCAGATATTGAATAAACTTCTATCAATCTATGAAAAATGTTTGTCATAGTATATGAAATAAAACATGCTGTGAATGACACGTTCAGATTTTTCTATTTTTATTATTTATTATTTACCTTTGCTCCTTTTCATTCAGCTCTTGTTGTTTTTGATCAATATCTGAAGATCTATCATAGATAACAATTAAAGTCAACGTAAAAAAAAAGACAAGTATATCATCTTACTCCTGTATAACTGTTGTTAATAATTTAGAATCATTAATTTCTAATGATAAATGGTCATTTTCAACGGAACATTGCGTCGAATCAATGTTAATTTTATTCTTCTGGTCGCTTTCACTTAAACTCGTCATTGACAAAATACGAACAAAATAAATTTGTTGTCGCAGAAAAAAATCACGTCCAAAGATGAAAAAACGAAGTTATTACGTACTGGAAAAAAAACGGCGTCAACGACGGAAGAATAATGGAAATTTTGTTTTTCGTTTGCTTTATATTTCAAACAAAAGCAGATGATAGTCGATAATAATGCGTTAAATATTTATTAAAATTAAGCAATAATTGATATGCTGCATAGGACTTACACATTAAATAACACAAGATAAATTAAAAAAATAGATGGTGGAAGTAAAAGATAATAATAAGTTGAACATAGCGTTTTCTAAAATTAATTAATTAAATATGTAGTTCAATATTCTTAGTAAAAGAACGAAAACAGAAATAGTTTACTGATTAAGAAAAATTTATTATATTTTATTGTTTCTTGTCTATTATCGTTATTTTGTTTGTATACAGACGAAAATATTCATAAGTTCACGTATATAAACAATGACAGAAAACGTGTATCACTAGAAAATAATATACAGTTTACAAATATACAAGATTTAATAAAAAATAGTATCGTCTATGTCGAGCACCGGTTCAAAATAAATGAACACAAAGAGCAATGCAATAATAGAATTCGTAGATTTCGAGAACAAACTAGTCAAGTTCTTATAGGATTTCAAAATAAAACGGATAAAAAAAGTCCAACTGCATAGAACAGATCCTAGTTTTTTTTCTATTTATGGGAATAATTGATGAATAAGTTCATTTGAGTCTAATGTCGACGATGTATCCATACCGACACTTGACGGATTGTCACTTTCTAAACAATATTTTATTTAAACATATATATTTATATGTATATAAATATATGTTAATTGAATAATACAGTAAAAAACTGTTTCCCTTACTTTTGCTACAAGGCACAGTCGTTCGAACAGGTTTCGTTCTGAAATATTGGAGAAAAAAAAGAATCGATATTTAAAGGAATATATAATAATAATCATAGCAAGTAATATACTTCGTTTTATTTCTTGCAACAATTATTTCAATTTCATTGTTCCAAGGATTTATAAATGGTTCAAATATTGTTTGCAGAACAATATATGAATTATCTTGCGTACGAAAACGATAATTACCACTGGTTACTATTTGACGATCACGACATACTTAATGAAGTGGAAAGAAAAAGAAAACGTTTTATTGTTAAATTTCATTTTTACCTCTATTCCATGTGTCATTGATTTTATTTCGATCTTCTTCATGTATAAAATCTGTTAGATTCATACCAAGGAGATCTTGCGATAAATAACCCAATAGAGAATAACATCTAAATAGAAGCATTTCTTCTTTTTTAAAAATACATATAGTAAAATAATTATTTGATATTAATCAATATATAGATAATAGAGACTGATAACATATCATAATAGAGTGTAATAATGACCATTTTCTTACAAATAACTGCATTCAATAGAAATAGCGACGAAGGTAATTATGAAAAATTTCAAGTAAGAAAGTTGATAGGTATGCTCAAAAGTAAAAATTTTCCATCTATGCAACGCTATTCTTCGCACCCATAGACAATATAAATACAAATCACGAGCACGTCACTACGTACGAAAAGAACAAGCGTAATCCATACATCCCTTATTTGCCATCGACCTCGATACTTTTCTGTTCTTGTTTAGAATTAAAAAAAACTAGATATCGATAGCCTAAAATTTCTTGTTTTACTGAATCAAAAAGAAAAGAACCTTAGGATAATAGCGCGGAAAAATGACTATCTATGAAACGCCAATTTTCTAATCTTCTCTCTTCAAATATTGTCCTATAATAGTTACATAAAAAACATTAACTGACTCAAGCGAGTTATACGCACAACAATCATGTTGCTTTGTGTCCTTCAATACTGATAAGAGAACGAACAAAGAAAAATATTTTTTTCTTTTATTTATTATTTGTTTAAACGTAGTGCATCAGTAAATGAAATATTTTAAAATAGAATCAATTAATTACAACAGCAACAACAACAACAACATTCTTTCTTAATGGTCTATCGTTGTATTCAAAGATTTAAATCATCTATTTTAATTAAGAATTGATTTAATCTATTATTTTAATTGAGAGGAGCCTGCATAGTACAGAACGAATAGATTCTTGCCTTCTTTTTACAGATTAACTCATGTATGATTGGTTTGTGGCAAGCTAACCTTCAGATAAAAATTTGTTTCGAGAAAAAATTCACTAAAATTCGTTCATATATTTAATATATTGAAAGAAATTATCCTAGGTAAACGACCTAGTTCTCATAAAAAGTACATGTACTTTGGGTGCAACTTATACTAAACCGTCTGACTCATCAAAGGACGCTACAGAATACAACCTATTCACGTTCTAGTAAATAAAATATTAATAACGAGCCACCCATAATGACTGGCTATTTTTTTTTTCTATGACTCTACTAGAAATCAAGGCTAACATTTTTTTCTGCATACATACGTACATATTCATATAGTTCACGAAAAACAAATCAACAAAATTGTAATCATTCGATGTTCGAGATTATAAGAATAATCTTCTCTTCATGAAACAATCAGTTGTTTTATGTCTTTTACTTTAATCTCATCGATTCAAAACAAAGATATACACTGTCAAAGAGTACGTTTCATCACGGCATGTTTACACTACAAACGGACAAGAAACAGACGAACAAAGAAACATAAACCAAAAGGCTAAGTACCCCAAAGAGAAAAATCTATGGCATTGTTTGATGCAACTAAAAAATGATGTTGCGTGTCTAGTTATATTTAAACTTAGTGAAATTTAATCACACGAGACTTATAATGAAGTTGTTCTCGTCGATGCATCATTTGAAGGTAAGAGTTTCCTTGACGACGACTTCATCTATGAACAAGACAATAACACGCTACACGCACACACACACACATATATATATATGTATATATATATATATATGAGAGATTGTTTGCATGGTGTGAAGAAAATTTCATGCATTATATAAACAATCACAGATGTTCATCAAAGCAGTCTTCATCTCGATTGTTATGTATGGAATGTGATCGCTAATAAAATGTGTAACAGGGTGAAGTTGAAAAAATATGTTTCTTTCATCGATAAAATAAACAAGTGAACTGTGTAAAAAAATTATTATTATTTTAATTTCAAAAACACATGGGATATGTATAAGAGAAGAAAATCATTGCTATTGTAATTTATACAACTCTGAAATCTATACCTTGTGTAGAGTATTTTGTTTTTCGATAAACAACACATTTAGTATGAAATAAAAGCGTTAAATCTGACCATTCATCGTGCGTCATCCGTTAATATTCATCATTCTTTCAAATTTTTGTTTTTCAAGTGTATTAATTTACATTTCAGTGGTTACTATTTATTTAACTCGTTTTCTCTTTGCATAAGAGAAAAAGGAAAAAACGTTCGCACAACTACTCTCATGTCACTGAAGAATTAATAAAATGCCTAGAACATCTTACATTTGATCGAAATATGTAAATTGTCCACCAGGATTTAATTTGCATAAAAACATTCTATCAGTCATATTTATATTTTCACCAATTTGATTGGTTTTATCAATACGTCTACATAGATTGCCCATCGTAATAAGACATGAAACGGGCGCTGCTCCAATTGCATGCAGAACATCAGCAGGTGCTAATGCATTAAAACTTGATTGCCGACGATCCGAGCGAGTTTTAACTTCATTTTGGTTTTCATTAGTTAACGAATATTGTTTTATATAACCCACAAAATCAATTGCAATATAATTATCTATAAGAAAAAGAAAGACAAATAAATTCGATCACTATAAAAAAATCGAACCTGTTTGGTTAGCCGTTGTCCTTGTTTTATTTGATCGTGTCGCTTTTGATTTCACACGACAGGAAAATGTGCGTCGGTTACCTACTTCTAAACAACTTTCTATTGCTGATAATAGAGGAATACCTAAAGTTACAAATAAAATTAGTTTCTTAGAATAATTGTTTTTTCAATTTTTACATTTTGAATCAGCTGTTGAATCTTCACTGCTAGTTGTTGCTGTTGATGACGATGATGATGATGATGATAATGATGATGATGATGTCTTTTTTTCACTCATTAATTGTTGTTTTACTGTTTCAATATCATCTGGACAAACAATATCCATGATCGATTGTAGATATAATTCATTCTATTGTTTAGAAAATAAAATAAAAATTTAAACAATCATAAACATTTGTAGACTTGCTACGAACTGGTTTATATCCAAGTATTGTTTCAGTTGAACTTGATGCAAAACAAATTCGACCTTTTTGACATTCAATAATTAGAAAAAAGTATGATGCTAATTGGCCTATTGTCGCTAATACTAATTCTAATAGTTCATTATCACTTAGGTATATTTGTTTACCAAAACCACGTGATGAAACTTTCGAAGAGGTACCTAAGAAAAATTTCTTTTTGTTTTTTGATTCTTGTATAACAAAAGAAAGTCCTTTTTTCTACCTTTCAAATGTTTTATTGTATCAACAGCTACTCGTAAGACAGTTAGTTTGTCGAGTTTTTTAACTAAATCTATTGGAAGTAATTGAGCTATTTCATCGATATAATGATTCATTTTTTCTCGTCGACGACGTTCAACTTCACTGTGAGTTATTCTTATTCTATTAATAAAAATAATTTGTTTATTATGAATATGAATAGAAACTTGATTTTACTTCCTCGTTTTATCATTTTTTGTATTCGTTGAAGATTTTGATGTTTCTTCATAATCAGAGTCTTCGTCTAAATTCATTTCACTTTTGGATTGAATGTCAAGACTAGAAAAAATAAATAAATCTATTATACGATCTACGATTAAAATATACAATGTCGCATTATAAAAGTAAAAGCTTACGCAGCAGTTATTTGCTCGGAAGCCATGCTTCGCGCTGCCAAGTTTTGCGTAGACATACGTATGAATGAATTTTAGAGATGCTATGAAACACCTTTATAAATTGGTGTTTCATTGATGTTTCAGAATCGAATGATGTTGCTGGATTGGCAACTACTACAAAAGTTATAGATACGATTACAATGACGATGTTGTTTACAATCTGGTTGTTGACGAAGAGTAGAAGGCAATAGTGAAAAAAAACAATATTCTAGTCACCTTAATGTAACCAATTGATGTAAAAAAAAATTTAAAAATACGAGAAAATTATCACACAAATCAATCGTTCACTTTATATTTATGGCTGTTGTGATAGTTCACCCTTTCCAACAAAAATAAATCGATAAAAGTTCGTAGCTAGGTCAGCTGTGTATGGCCGTCGCTGTTATAGATATAGATCAGTAACGCTGCTTGAAGATGAATCAATAATCTGAAAAGGTCACTCAGCACTTCTCTTTTTTCTGTTTGTTTTCATTCGATTGCAATTGTTCAACACGTACCCACGCTCTTTACTACCTTGTTACTTCTTGTTCTATATATATATATATTTCTTAGCGTTCTCCGTCTCCTCTCATATGGTTGAAATAGTTGTAGATGACACTGGATGTACGCCAGCAAAAGTAACCATCTTGAGCATCAAGCCAATGTTCGTCGACGACAACAAATTATGTATATTTATATATAAATGTATACAATATTCATTGAAGTAATGAAAAATAATATATAAATGTTATATTTGTTCCAGTAAAGAAAAACAAATATACATAATACACAATGGATATATACGGCATCTATTGAATCTATAGCGATGTTATAGTTTTGCTTTTTCCAAAAAAAGAATCAATTATGACACCAGCAATCTAGTTTCTATCAACTCTCGTTTATTTTTCGTTGTCATTCTATATTGAGTATTCAACAAATATAGAAACAAGGGCACGCCGATCTCTCATATTAAATAAGCGTCAATGAATACATGAAAGATTTCTCATTTGTAACAGGATCAGCATTAGAGAAAGACAATATGAGAAAAATACTATTGATAAGCGATGCGATGATAATAAAGAAGCAATTCGTTCTTCGTATCGCAGGGAAAAAATGATAGAAACCTAGCATGCAAAATACTATACGTATACAGCATTGGAGAATTTACACTTATATTTTTACTATTAACTAAACTGAATTACTATACTAATATTCTTGGCTTTTTTACATGATAAATAAACATAATTTGTAACGAGTAAATAAATAAATATATACTAATAAATTTTCGAAAAGAGTATAATAAAAAAAAATGTCGATGTTCCAGAACAGTCCATAAACAAGTAGATAATTAAATTTTGAATTGGTTTTGAAACTACGCATTTATGATAAGATAAAAATTCGGATTTATGTTACAATTTTTAAAATGAAGGTTATTCTACTGTAAATTAAATAAAGAATAGTTTCTAAATTGTCAGAAAAATTAAGTTTCAAATGATCTTTACTTAACAACATAATTTCAAGCAATAAATACAATAGTTTTTGCAAAATTTTCAGAAACAAAATAAAATCAATATAAGACTAGCTGAGAAAAAAAGCAATATCATATTATACTTTCAGACTCTATGACTGAAATGTTCGAGTTTGTTTGTTTGAACTAAACAAAAACAGAACAGTTTTCTACCAGTAATTTATTTAAATATGAATTTAATTGCTTAGTATTAATTCATATAATTATATTTTATATCCATTAGAAATCAGTACTGATAATACAGCTAAGAACGATTATTACTATGAAAATAATCGTTTCATTGACGGTTTGCTGTTGTGTTAAAATATAAAAAAAGAACAATACCGAATTTCCACAGTTATTTACCTATATGATTTTTGCTTTTACAATATTGATTCTACTTTACGTCAATGCTAGAATTCATCATGGAAGAGCTAAAATACGATTACATTGAATATGCTCTTGCTTTTATATTTATGACATATACAACACTGAATGAAATCAATGATGCTTCAGAGTAGACCATAATCTTTTCTGTTGTTAAGTCAGTTTGTAGATACATAGTTACTTTAACATTATATTTCTCATCGTGAATCATGATTAGATAAGCCATAAGTTGTGCTGTTCTATTTCTATGCAATTTCAACCGATTGCGACAACTCAATACTATTGATAAAAGTCAACTAAGCAAAGTTCTGAGCTAAAATCAAAGACACTCATTGGTCAAATGAAATCCTTATCAGTTTTTTTTGTAACATACGTCATTGTTTGAGATAATCTTAGGTGTAACCATGACACAGATCAACTAAATACGGCCTTATATTAGTTTATTACTGTTTTCATTCATGGTGCATTTTATTAATTCATCATTTGGTATATAGAGCAAATACTATTTATCCCTAGAAACACAGAAAAATACCGTTACATCAATGTCCAGAGGTTATCCAAGCATGCCTGTTATAGTCGAACAGCCAGCGTTTCAACATGGCGACCCGTTCAAGTCAATGAATAATGAATGGAATGTTGGATTATTCAACTGTTGTGATAATGTATCTCAATGTAATATTAAAGTTTAATTTTTTTTTCACTAAATAGTTTTCGTAGGCAAGATATACGTATATATGCCAATGAGAGTGTACCGTCAACTAGGATATCTCAGTTATTTTATCTTCTATAGTATCAATCATTTTGACAAGAGTATGATTTTGTTTCCTTCGTAATATAGTACATGGGAAAAATCAGGCAAAACGGGACATACACCCCTTCATTCGATTCTTATTCTCCACACAAGCTTTCTTTTTGAATAATTTCTTTTATCATTAACTTATGTGAGTGAAACTCTTTGCTCTTTCACATGACTATTTATTATTAATTAATTAATTAATTAATTAATCAAGAAGTAATTAGTGATTTTCTTGCAAACGGTATGAGAAAAAAGTCTGAAAATTTCAGAATAGACTCCAGAGTCCAAGCTGCATCTATGGTAAAATTTTCAGCCAGATTGAATTCCAAAACAGTTCCTCCGAAAAACTGGCTCTATAAATAAGCAATCAAGAGTAGAAACAAATCCTGTTATGTTATTATAATTCATGGACTCTGAGCAAGGATTTGTACGATTTGAAATCTTTTTCAAACTTTTTGTTCGATTATGAAGATATCTTTTCGGTAGTGTATTCGTACTTCATCACGTCGCTAACAAAATTGTTCACGTCGCCAACGAAAAATTTGTACGTTTGACAGAAAAATCTAGACATGTTGAAGAAAACATTGCATACGCATGTTGTAGCCCGAGATAGTGTCTACTGGATATCGAATTTAGTTTTCTAAAATTATGTGGCAGTTTGGAGTTTTTTTAAACTGAAGTCCTTAAAGAGAAAATCCGTGTCCTTTTTTGGGCCACATCGCTAACGACTGTTTTTTTTTCCAGATAACTCCTATCAACAAAGTTCCCTAGTACTGATTTCTGCAGGATATCTAGAGTCACTTAAGATCCATATAATATAAAAAAAATCAAGTCTAGAAAAGTTCAATATGTCGAGATATAGATATTTGAATTTTACGCAATCACGTCGCTAACAAATGATTTTGCCCACATACAGTTTGCTTACCGCTCGTTCATATTCAAATTTGTTATTTCTCGTCAATTGAAATTCCTTTTGAAATCTCATTCATGATTGTTGAAACAAAAACCCATCGCTAAATTAAGCACTCTTAGAACAACCACGATTAGCGATTTTTTTTCGATCTATAAAAGATAGAATCAGACGAAAGCAATTAATATGTAAAATTGTGATACACTACATATGATACAAAATTACACTTATTTTGTTAATGTAAATTACAAATTATAAGAAAAAAAGAGCTAGCATATCCTTGTTACTTAGGCACTTCTATTAATATAGTATATATGAGGCTGTATTTTTTTTAAGGCTGTTATGCATATTGGTGTTGGTGCTGTTTTGTTAATTCCTTAGCTAACACGATTGGTGAATCAACCTGTTCGTGCTTATGTGTTCCATATTCGCTGGCTATGTATCGCATGAAAGTTCGATCCGTTTACCGTATTAGCGTGAGTTAAACAACGAATTCATCTTGTGATATGGCATGTATTATTTACTCTCTAGGGTGATAGTTGTAAGGATCATTGTGCCACCTCATGCTGCCCAGTTTGTGTTGGTCTTCAAATGCGCAATGAACTTGGACACCATGGAATATCATAAGCTTGCAATATCTTGATGATAAAAAAAAACTGATGCAGAACTATCTCTAACTTACATATGCGATTGATTGAATTGTTCTTTTGTTTTATTGATTACAATTCAAATATTATACAATAAAGGAACAGAAGAAAATTACTCATGTTATTGAAAATAATGTCTAAAATTTTTGCATCATGAAGAAGTGTAGAAAGCTTCAGAGAGTCACTACATAATAACGAAAGTGTATTCAGTGTTCTATCAAATAATAGATAAAATTATGAAAGAGAACATTTTCTTAAGTAGTGTTCAATATAAATGAGTCAGTCAAGCGTATACTCTGCCCATTAGATATTGGATTGTACTTAAATTTCTGAAAAAACGTTTTGCTCTATTGTTATATTTACCGATGGAAGTAATATTTGAGAATAGTTACATTCGAAGCTATTGGTGGTATAAAATGTGATAAACAGATGCGTAGTATATTTCTGGGCTTGATAGTGATTTTCATATTTGTAAAATTATCATAAAATAGTATTGCAAGTGATGTAACTAGAAATAAGATAGCTTCGTAATACTACTTGACAAACATATAGAAATTTACATGGGTTGAAAATATTTTGATGAACAGAAAATGTTCATCAAACAAAAGTTTAATATGGCTCAGTCAAATAGAAATTTCGGATTTTCACTAAGCATAATTTTGGATGAAATTTCAGTTTCAGCTATGTCGAAACAAAGTTAACGCTAAAATTTTCACTGGATATGTTACGAATGTGATGGAATTTCAATATTGATCAGAGACAAAAGCAGTCTCAAATTTCGTAGTGATAATTTGACACTAAAATTAGAGTAATATTTTCAAAGGAATCTCCAGTTTTCCAATAAATATAGGACTTTAGAGAAACAAGCTTGAAATATAGTCCCATTCTGAAGATAGAAAACAAATTGTAGGAAAGATTGTAAATTAGGGTATTTTGAGGTTGCTTGAGCCCTCTTTAGTTTGCATCTAGTTACGTTAGTGCCGGTTGTGTCAAACTGAGAATTACCAGTGTTGATTATTCAGAAAAACAATGATGACAAATCAAAAGTACTGCTTAATCAGTAGTAAAATTAAACAAATATTTCCTTTTCTCTCTACAAAGGTTTTCACAATTAGTAGTAGGCAGCATTCTTCTTAGAACTGATAAGGAACAGTAACTAAAGTTTAGTCGTTATAAGTATCGCCGTTGAACTCTCCATCGAATTATAGAACAATACTGCCATCTATCTAAAATATGATCTCTCGTATAGTTTCTAATTAAAAGAAAAAGATTTTTCCAATCTAGAAAAAATTAATCTGACGAAATTCTTCAACGGCTCGTCATAAAAAATATCTTTTAAATTTGGAATGATTCCAATCTTCACCAAATTTTATTTCTAACATATTTTTATTTTTTCACAAATCAACAAAAGCAATCGTAAATCGTCATTTCATTCTTGTTAATCTTCATTCCTTTCATAGATTTAAATATGAGCAATCAAGAAAAAGAACCATCTGAGGCAACCGCTATTCCTGACATTCAAACTACGGATGAAAACCAAACATTAACTACAAAGGAAAATGTTGAAACATCAACTGCAAACGAAAAGCTTTCTGTATCAGATAATAGCAGTGCGAATGATTTAAATGTTTCGATTGAACCAGTAATAAAACCTCGTCTATCAATGCCTCAAGATATTCGCTATTCAACTGAACAAAGTGTTCGAGAAAAACTTATAGAAAAGTATAATAACTATCAAGTTTCTGATAAAAATTCTTGCAACATTCGCTTTACAATGGACCATCGACAAAAGAACAATCTTTTGGGTCGAAATGAAGGTACGAATCTAAAGGCACTAGAAGCTTTTAAATTTGTAGTGTAATGTTTTCTTTATAGAGGAAAATTTAACTTTAAATTCTATTTCGAAAACATTTAATGTGAATGTACTTGTAAGTGTTTCAAAGTTAATTTTCAATCGATTAGTAAATATTCTTATTTTCTTTCTCAGTCGGGTTATCAAAATCCTACGAAACATTCATTGAAAATTTTTGGTACAGAAGTCAATGTACGCAAGTGTTCTATTGATATAATGAATCGTATGTTTAAACAAGTAAATCGATCGACAATTCAAAGTGAGAGTGAAAACAATGAACAACAAACGACTGCAACTTCTAATGTGAAATCTAATGAAACAGAAGTTTCAGAAGGTATGAATTTTAATCTGCAAAAGTTTTTTTGAAAATGTATTATCATCTTTTTTTCTCTTGTTAGATCATGAAAAACTAGGTGAGAAATCTGCTGAAAATTCACCATCAGCATTGGTGTCAACAATTAATCCAGAATCATCTATTACCGAAGAAACAAAGTCTCTAACAGCACCGAACCCAAATAAGGAAAAACTGGATGCTAAAGATGAAAGTAGCGAACCAGAAAAATGCAAATTTGTACCACTAGAACGAAAACCTGAATATACATTCATTCTTCTTATAACGGGGCAAGGACAAGAAGTATTGAAAAGTATAGTTTTTTTTATTCATATTCATATTGATATATTAAATTTTGATTTGATTTATTCTTTATAGAAAATTGGACTTTCTTTGCTGGATCCTTACAGCAACGTTTGAATGTTACTGTGACAAATGTAAGAATAATAGATACGAATGATAAATTCTCAAAAACGCCTGAAACGATCAATTAAGTTTTACAAAAATATTAGAATAGGGCCTCCATTTTTTGTGGGAATCATAAATCTTATGGCTAATCTGTGATAATTATCAGTATGGTATAAAAATCAATTTTTCTGGTCGATAGATATTAATGTCTTTATTATAATTTAAAGGAAATCAGCCTGAACAAATTACTTAATTGAACAGTCATATTCTATCTGCTTGACAATAGATTTTATTTAGATTTTGCATATGCACAATTAAAATAACAGTACTATCCTATGTCTTTTACTATGAACTATTGTTTGAGTTCATTAATACAAAATATTTCTTTGATGAACCTCGAAATGATTTAATCTATAATAGACTTATTGACTATAGAATAAGATAAACTAACTAATTCTGATCATTGATTTTTTTCTTGTAGCCTTTTAAATTACCTAAATTTGGTGATAAACAATGGCAAAATGAACTTTCTATTACTGGTGAACTATATGAAAATATAGTCGACGCTGCTCTACAAATCACTGCGTTCATTAATGATGTTCTTGGCATACCCATTCAACCATACAAAGGTAAAAACGATTCAATTTCAAGAACAAAATAAAACAAACATATTATTTTAATAGATGAAGAACAAATGATGAGTAATAATAATAATTATTATCAACAACGTACAAAAACTAATAACAGTAACAATGACTATCAGCAACAACAACGTCGACAGGAACATAATAATGGTTATCGTCAATCACCACCTCAATATCAAGGTCAACCATCACCATATAATAATCAGCATGAACGAACTATTTTCAATCGTGGCCGTAACGGTACATTTGAACAAATTATTCTGATACGAAGTAATTGTGCTGCACGTATTGTCGGTAAGTTAGACAATTTTTATTTTCAACATTTATTATAGTTCTTATATTTCAAGGTACACGAGGCTCTAATTTAAGACGTATTCAAACAAAATGTCATTTACGTGATATTGTTGTTGCACGTCATCCAAGCGAAAATGGTTATGTTGAATGTACATTATCTGCCTATCAAACACGTAATCTTAATTTTGCTATTGATACAATACGTAGCTACTTAAGAAATGAAGATGATCAAGCTGTACAAGTACTTGATTCTCATTTTGTTGATACTGCATTACAATCATCACCATATCAAAATTCACCATATAATGATCAAACACAACAAAATCTCGAACATGGTAATCAACATGTTTTTTCAAATAGTCGTTATCAACAACAGCAACAATCGTCATCATTTACGGCAACATCTGATTTATCTCAGAAAAATAAAGAATTAGGTAAGCGTATCTATTGGAAAACTCATTTTAAAAATTATCGATTATCTTAAGGTTTCATGACACGACCTTTACATCTTGATAATGGTGCAAAATTACCTCAGCCATCATATAATTTTCAAAATACTCCATCGTTCGATTTCACTCATCGGCCAACATCAGCTTCACGTAAAACAGATAAACGTCCAGGCGAAGTTAATGATTTTAACAATACAAATACTGTTCAAACTCGTTCATCGACTGCTTCTCAATGTCAACAACATGGTGGTTCATCGTCATCAAATTCTTCATCATCATCGCCACGACATAAATCGAAACGAACATGTCCAGAAACAAAAGAAATCGATTGTACAACAGATGATGGTTTTTGGGTACAAAAACAATATTATCATGCATTAGACGATGCATCCAAAGAGCTATTTGATTCATTACTTGATAAATTAGAAAAAATTCGTATATCTTCTGAAGAAAATGCAGTTAGAAAACAGCAACGCCTTGTTGGACGAAATAGATCAAATAAATCACGAGTTTTTACAACATCAATTTCATCAATAACACAATCAAATGATGATATAGATACAAATATTAAGTCAACACAAGATGATAAGGTTAGTTTAGTATTAAAAAACAAAACAATAAAGTAAATCTGAATTATTATTCTATATTAAATAGACTGAAGAATCAACGAATGTCGATGAACAACAAGAGACCAAAGATTCAACCTCTAACGAACTTGAAACAACTGCAGTTTCTGTTGCTGTTGATCAAAAATAAACCGTATGAGATAAACAAAAGAAAATTATTTAACGTCAGATATAAACAGAATCTATTATTATTTTTTTCGTCTTTGTCAATTTTCTTTTCGTCTGTGCAATAACTAAATTTCTTCTTCTTTTTTTTTGTGTGTGACAAGTACATCGATATTTTTGTTGTATTAGAACGATTCATAGAATTATCAATTGATGAAATTGTTCGATATTTTTCTCTGTCTGTTTCTTTCTTTCTGTTGTTATGAGAGTTAATGAGAAATATTGAGTAAGAAAGACCGGTTTATTAAGATTTAAACAGATCTAATATAGAATGGTGATTGTTAATTAAGATCGTTAGACTTTAGTTTATTTTTTTTATCGTATTTCGATCTATCTTCTTTAAAGTAAAAGAAAACGAGAAAAATTTAAATCTCACTATATCTTTCGTCTTGTCATAAGGAACATTTTAAAATTCACTCTAAAATTAAACGGATCTTTAGAGTTGATTGTGTTCTCTTTTTCTTTTTCATCTATTACATGTTATAATATATATTTTTGTTTGTTGTTGTTGCTGTTGTTGTTTGATAAAAGAAGAGATGATCTAATCATAAACGAAATGTTTTTAACTAATGTCTGAGATATTAAAAAAAAATACCGCAAAAGTAGTGGAATCATAAAAATAAAATTTCCCTTTCATTCATACACATAAATTTGAATGGTCAAACCAATGGAATTTCAATTTCCAATAGTAGCCTCAAAATGATTTTATATTTTTAGGAAGATATTTCTTTTTATTATCATTATCTAGAATGCACCGATAGATAGTTGCCGTTCGAAGATGAAAAGTGTTAATTGAAGAAGAATTTGATTGCATCTAGATACATAAAATTCTACGATTCAAAACGGGAAAAGTAACTTGTTTCTGGTCGTGTGCACCATTCTGACAAAGAAACTCGTGTTTATTTGACTGTTGCTATTCCATTGCATCTTAAATCAATATTAAATGAAACTTTTATACATGAATATTCTAGATATAAAAAGTGATACTGATCATTAACAAATTAGAACCATGGCTGATAATCGATGTGAGTTGAAATTATGATTTAATATAAATGTAAAATGTATTTAAAAAAAATAAACGCTAGTTTCAACTCGAACTTTTGAAAATTCAAATTTTAACCGTAACAATGGAAATACAAATAACTTTCATTTCGACAATAACTATAACGAAAGCAATCATTCTGAACAATATATTCCACATGTTTCTGATGATTGGGATGTTGAAACTCGTGAAAATGAACAAACTAATACAAAACAATGGTTGAGTATCTAAGAATTATTTTAATTGTAATTGTTATTATATTTTTGATTTTTCAGGTCACAATCAGCATATCACTCGAAAGATAGTAATTCTACTCGTTCTTTTCCAGATGTAACACGCTCATTAAATCAACTGAATCGTAGTAATAATAGTAATTTTGGAGCAAGAATTTCACAGGATTATGTAATTCATACGAATGATGTACCTCGTTTGATTGGTAAAGGTGGTGAAACAATTAAGCAAATACAACGCGAATATGATGTACAGATTAAAGTTTCAAATGCTCGTGAAAATCAATGGGCTGATGTAATTATATCAGGGTCAAATGGTCAAACTATAAGAAATGCTTATGATCATATTACTCATCATATAGGTACTATGAAAGAGAAAAATGAATTTTCTCAATCAAAACCATTGTTTGATACAGGTAGTTTTGTTCTTCTAATTTAACTTAGTTTTGTGTTTTGTGATTTCTAACGATAATTTTAATAGAATCGAACAAACATAATGCAAATACATTTTCATTTTCAACATCAAATGGAAATAGTTCACGAGACACAAATAGTTTTTCTTCGTCGACAAATCAAAACAATTTTCGAAATGATAATAATACTTATTTTCATAGTGCTAATCGTGGTTTCAATGATTGTAACAGAGCATTTACAGGTTCGACTATTCTACTTACTATTCTATTTCATAATTATCAGCAAAAGATTTACTATATGAAAGAGTGTATGTAAACTACAGATTCAGTAAATAGTTTGATGTGTGTACAGGGATGTGCCGAAAGGAAAAAAGTGGGGGGGGGGGGGGGGNCCCCCCCCCCCCGCCCCCCCCCCCCCCCCCCCCCCCCCCCCCCCCCCCTCAGGATAGTTTGTAATATCCAGATTTTATAGTAAAAGTTCTACAACAATTTTGCTAAAGAAACCACTACTTTTCAAAAGTGGGGGTTCAGTCCTCCCCCATTCCCCCCCTGTACCCCCCATGGGCACATCCCTGTGTGTGTATATTTATCTTTTCATTTTTTTTTACATCGAAAAGAGAATCTATTGAAATAAAATAAAATATTCTCTTAGGTTCATCAAACAATCGAGATGCCAAGCAATCTTCATTTTCTCGTTCTCAATTTGGAAAATCATCAAATCGTCGTTGTGCTCCAGCTGGTGTTGAAGACGATGACTATGATGCATTGTTTGGTTCCGATGAAGAAAAATCAAATGATGTCAAAGTCAAACAAGATAAATATAATGTTACTTCTGCTTGTCCTCCAGCTTCCATATGGAATATAAATAATACTGATCCAACTAAACGTGTCGATTGGGCAAAAATGCGTCGTACTGATACAGCAAATGACATGTCGAAATGGAAAGAGTTTCCACCAGTTATTAAGGAATTTTATCAAGAATTGCCTGATATAGCTCAAATGTCCATTGAAGATGTTCAAGCATTACGTGCTGAAAAAAATAATATTGTTGTTTCGTGGTTTGATTCATCAACGAAAGATAATCATGAACCAAATTCTAATTGTAAATTAAGTATTCCAAATCCTATCTACGAATTCGCTCATTCTTTTCATAATTACGGTGATATCATGAATGAAATAGCTAAACAAGGTTTTGTTGAACCGTCACCTATACAATGTCAAGCATGGCCCATTGCTTTAAAAGGTTATGATTTCATTGGTATTGCACAGGTATCGATTGATTTAAATAAGTATTTCTATTTCGTTTTGCATATCCTATCTCGTGACTAGACTGGTACTGGAAAAACACTTGCATTTCTCTTGCCCGCTCTTATTCATATTGATAATCAACCAAAGTAAGTATTATCTTTATGTGTTGTTGGAGAATAATTGTAGAAAGTTTATGTTATTAATCATCATCTATTCAGATGTAAGCCTGCAATACAAGGTCCTAAAGCATTGATTCTTTCACCAACACGTGAGTTAGCAATTCAAATTCATCAAGAAGTACAAAAATATAGCTATCGTGGTATTCGAAGGTAAACGGACTCAGAAAATTTCAAAAGATATTTCAATTTTAAATGATTTTTTTAGTGCTGTAATTTATGGCGGTAGTAGTCGTAAAAATCAAATATTTCAATGTGAATCTGGTATGAAAGTTTTACAAGTAATGCAATTTTTATTTTTTTCGTTTATTCAAGGTGTTGAAATTATCATTGCAACACCTGGTCGTCTCAATGATCTGGTCATGAGTAATGTTATCGATCTTCGATCTGTTACTTTTTTGGTAAAAATCGATGCATTTATTGTTCATAGTTTTATTGGTTGATATAATTTTAATTAGGTACTTGATGAAGCCGATCGTATGGTGAGAAGCAGAAGATCTTTGGTTAAAAAGTAGTGATCTTTTGTTAATGTTTTATTATTGTTATAGTTAGATATGGGTTTTGAACCACAAATTGTTAAAATACTTCTGGATATAAGACCTGATCGACAAACAATTATGACCAGGTTTCAATCAACAGAAGCGATTGCCATCGCGATTATTAATTTCTTCTTGTTTTTTTTTTTGACAGTGCAACTTGGCCTGAAGATGTACGACGTATTGCTGCACGCTACATGCGTAATCCTATTCAAATATATGTTGGAACACTAGATCTAGCGGTATTTAAACAGAGAACATTTGGAAATAGTTCTATTAATAAGTTTGCTTTTTCTTAGGCTGTACACAGTGTTCGACAAGATATTGAAATTGCTAAAGAAGAAGAAAAATTTGATCTAGTAAGAAAGATTTTTTCGTTAATCTTTATTTTCTTCGTTCTGATTTTAGCTATTGGATTTTATTGGTCGTATGGATGCAGAAGATAAAATGATTGTTTTCGTTGATCGGAAATCAACGTAAACTAATTATGATTATGATAAATATCGTTTTCATCATTTTTTATCTAGAGCTGATGCTATTTCAAGTGAACTTATTCGAAAGCATATCTCTTGTCAATCCATTCACGGGGATCGGTAATATCTTTTTATACAAAACATTTCTTTCCTGAAAAAATTGATGTGTTTATTTATCGCGTTTTGGTTTGTTTTGCAGCGAGCAATCTGATCGTGAGCAAGCTCTTGAAGATTTGAAATTAGGCACTGTGAGCATTCTTATTGCTACTGATGTAGCTTCACGTGGCTTAGATATTCAAGATATAACGTAGTTTTAATTTTGTTTTAATTTTGTGAAAACTAAAACAAACTTTCTGCTCGTTTTAAGAGTTGTCTTTAATTATGATTTACCAAAATCAATGGAAGATTATGTTCATCGTGTTGGACGAACTGGTCGTGCTGGTAAAACAGGTATTTCTTATTTTCTCCATTTTCTTAGAAATCTTTAATTATTGTTAACTTATTCTTAGGGTATGCTATTTCATTAGTTACTCGAGAAAATTGGGGTAGTGCTGGTCGTCTTATAAAAATTTTAGAAGAAGCTGGACAAGTATATTCCTAAATTAAAAATCCATAAAGTTCAATAGAAAATTATTGTTTCTATCTTAGAATGTACCAGGCGAATTACGAGAAATGGCAGAGCGCTTCAAAACAATGCAAGATCGAAAACGTGATTTTCCCGGTGCTCGTAATCGTTATGGTAATCGTGATAATGATGGAGAGGGTCGATTTTTTGGTTTAGGCTCTTTCAACTCACGAGGTGGTCGGAATGGACGAGATCGTGAAAAACCACCAGTCATGAATTCGGGTAAATATTTGAATTATGTTTTATAATAATTCTTCACTATACTTGTTTTAGGTTGGACTTTTTCTTCTTAGAGAAAGTTCTTTTCTTATTCTTCCAATTACTTTTTCGTTTGGGGTGCGTCAGATATCATAATCCAAGATTTTTGTTTGCCTTCATATTTTCCCTTACAAATCAATCGTAACAAAAAAAAATAAGATTAAGAACAAAAAGAATAATTATAATTCACTGTTTTCTTTCTCCTTGTTCCATATTTGAATATCGTGTTGAACAGTTAAGAAAGCGTACCAGTGATCATATCTATTTGTTTTTGTCGTTATACGACTTTCATCAGTATTGTTTTTTGTTGTTTTGTATTTCTTCTCGTTTTGTTTTTCGGTTTTCTTTTTGAATACAAACTTTGATTAAATAACCATATTCTTTGATTATGAAAAAAAAAAGAAATCTTTTTCTATGAGCATAACTATGCAATTGTTTTTATGTCATCAATAGTAAATTGATAATCTAGTCTTATTGGATTTTGTCAATGCAATGAAATATATTCACTTTCGTATCGATGAGGATGTGAAGTTTTTTCTTCTCAGCCTTATTCATATTTAATATTGTGTGGCTAGGTTGTATGTGTTTATTTACTTATGAGTTTGCCTTGAACATTGCTTTTCGACCAATAACAACCAGCTATGTTCATATTTTGACACTATCACTACCAAGAGAGTCAAAGAAATTCGTAGGAAACACTAGTTGCCAAAACTGAACATATCAAGATAGCAGCTGGCGGCGTTGGAGTGATTGAAAAGTCGAATAAAATAATTTTATTTAAGATACTATGAGAATAGATATAAAAGAGTTTATTCAACAAGAGGCAGGTCGGAACTATGACAAGGTTTGCGAATCCATTAATAATAAAGTTTGTACGAGTCCGACAACTATGAATTGAATCGACTTTTGAAATGCAGTCATACTCTTGAGACGTATATATTTTTTAAGCTGTAAAAATATTCACCTTGCAATACAATTGGCAACATGAAATTTATCATTGGTTTTAATGCACGAATTCCGGGCTAAAAGGAGTATCACAATAGCTCATAATCGATAATTTAAGAAATAAATAATATTACTTTACACAGAAAAACGATTATAGTGCATCCAGAAAGATTTATAACTTTATTATTGCTTAAACTTTATTTTAAAGTATGTTATCAGATTAGATACAGATCGTATTGAAAGCTAGCGATTGAAAATAACATGTTTATAAGGATTAAAAAATGATGCGAATATATAATAGTGACTCAAGTTACAAAGATAACGCAAGTATTTTAATTTTCTAGTCAACGCTAAGCGTAGAAAAAACAATTACATAGATGTACCACAAAACTGAAGTGTCCAAAAAAGAAGACGATCATTCCTATTTAAAATCCAAATATTACTCTAAAAAATTACTTTTCGATAATATGATTTGACAAAAGCACAAAACTTTGAATAAGACGAAGGATCACGAATGTTTTTCAAAACTTTCTCTATGGAATTATAGACATCGTCAATTAAATGAGAAAACAATGGAATTATAAAACCTCTGAAATGCGACCGATGCGCTTTCTATCATCACTGCAAATAATTACAAGAAAACCAAAGGAATTGTAACCTTATTTGATTTCATTCAAAACTTTATGTTCTTAGGGCTGTTTTTATAGAAAGACCATTATCATTCACCGTTCTAGGGTCTGAATATTAAAGTGAACGTGTTGTTTAAGAGACCTTGCTCGAAAGTCATCACCTAAGAAAATATGTATTTGTATTTTGAGTTAGATATTTGATATTGTAGTAAAAATAGCTTGAACTTTGAATACTGACAAAAAAAGTATAAATTAATAAAAATTAGCGACAACTACATCGTATTCGTTATATTTAGTGATTATCAGTAACCAATCAAATCTATCAAGGATCACTTTTAAGAGAATTGAATAATTGTTTCAAAATAATAACGTGTTAATTAGGAATTAAATGAAAGAGAAGAGGAGAAGAACATACTTAATTATTCCTATCTAATAATGGTAACTGGGACTGAAAATCTGTTTATTGATACAACAGTCAACTCAACAAATAGATTTCTTGTAAATTCAGAAGCTCATACATCACTTCGACTTCTTCATCGACGCTCATCAGACGAGGATGAGCCTGATGAAGAAGAAGAAGATGAAATACTAGTTATAGAAAATGACGAAGAAGAGGAGCCAGATGAAGACGTGGAAGAAACCGAAGAAGAAAATGGTGATGACAATCTAGTTCCAAAACTCAATATTGGTCAGTTAAAAGACTCAAAATCTCCATCAAAACTCTCTTCATTTCCATCATGTCCTTTTACTGGTGGTTGGGGACGTGGTTCGCGGCCGATATCTATCGTAAGAAAAAATTATTGATAATTTCCATCGTAGGTTAAAGTTTTTCGATTTCAGAGCCCTCAAAGTTCATCATGTCCTACTCTTGGCTATGAAAATGTAAATGCTTTTGATCAACATAAATCTGAAACTTCAATATCGAAGCATACCAATGGCAACGACCAACAACAAGTAACAAAAAACATGACAACTATTACACATGCAATTAATGGGGATTATTATCATCATTGTATTCCCGTAAATATTTCTTCATTATTTTTTTCGGTTTTCGATATTAAAAAAATGAATTTCCTATATAGAAGGGACCTTTCGATGAAGTAATTGATTTTTCATTTAATGCCAGTACAACAAAAATAGTTTTTGACAATGAAGATGGCTATAATAAAGCTACTGACGCTCTTAAGAAGAATGCAATTCAACATGAAGCTACTCGAAATTATTCTGATATATGGCCATTTTGTTTAAATTCTCGAACGATACGATTTTTTCGTCTTGCTGAACTTGAATCTCAAAGATTAAATAATGATAATTTAAAACAACTAATAATACCATTGACACGTATATCACCGTCTGATTTATTAGCTTATGGTAGTCAATATTGGTTCGCATTTGAACGACGTCCAACTTTTAACGAAGAAAAATTTAATATTGACATAGAATCAATCAAAACTCAATCTGAATCTATGACAAATAATACAATATTAGGTCGAATTAAATTTTTCCGTGGTGTTCATGTTAAATTATCGTATGGTGCATTAACTTCAATGAATCAATATTATTATCATCCGGAATATTGTTTTACAAAAAGAACTGAATGGACGGTAAAATAGTTTTTGTTTATTTGATAATAGCTTGTTATTCTACGAATTGCAATCAGAAAATCATCATGAATGAGGTGTAATAATTTGATAGGATATTTCTATACGATAAAGTTTACAAAAGATAAGGAAATATTTAAAAAAAACATCTTTCTACCCATCATTGTCTAGTAAAATTAGAACTGCTTTGAAGATAAAATCGAAAATCATTGGCTTTCCATTGTTTCTCAATAAATTACGTCCTTGTGCGTTGCTATGGAGATATGAGTGACTCATATACTCCTTTATTTTTATTCTTTTCTAATTAGAAAGTAGAACTTCTAAGGATTATTTTTAAAAGACTCATTCGAGCGAATCATTTATTTATATTTGTTACAGGTGACATACGAACTACATTCATAGTTTTCGTTTGTTTTTGGTTAGCGGGGGAAAGATTTGAAAGAGAACGTCTCCCAAAGCGAAAGAGAAACAGTTTTGCATTGTTTGTTTTTCAGGAAAAACTATATTATTAGTTAGAATTTGTAAGGGTTTCTTATTCAATTAAGAAAATGTTTTTTTGCTGCTTTCTTGTAAATAAATATGTGGAAAAAAGATAAACGAGAAAAAATTTGTTTTTCTAGTCGTAACTTTTTACATTCATAGCTTCCAATTTCAAAGTTAATGTCCTTGGGGAAAATTATTTCATGGTTTGCCTATCACTCATCATCGCTATCGTCATAATTGTTTTGAATGTATATATTGATATTGCGAGCTTTTGCTCTCCTGGATGCATGAAAAAGTTTTCAACAATATCATCTAAATGAAAATAGATCAATGTAAAAAATAGTTCGAACTTAAAGAGAAAATAAATTGATATGAAAGAGAATATAAATTAATAGAAAAGAGAAAATAGTTTGAACCTAAAGTGAAAATAGATCCATATAAAAGAGAAAATAAATTGGTATAAAGGAGAAACTAGATGATTGCCTTTGGTAGGCTTTATCCAGCCTACAAATACATTAAAATCGTGTACAAAGTCGAAAAGAAAATTTCCAGGGAGAAAGCTATAACGCAAAAAAAAATTTGAGCGCGGGTGGGGTGGGGTAATTCTCCGGTCATCATAAACTATGAACCACATAACTATATATATATATATACATCACTAAGGGCATCTGACACTACATAATATTTATTTCGAATCGTTCGTTGCATTGGACACTGTCAAATTGACAGTGTATCATTATAACAAAGAACCGAACCGAATCAGTTTCAAAAGCTACAAAACGAGCCGATCGATTCTGTTCGGTTTACAAATTGAGTCGAGACCATTCTTAGTCTAAGCAACATCATAAAATTCTATATTGTTTAATTATTTCTGACTTTCTATTATGTAATCGTAATTTTAATGAAAACTATTCACATCAGATGTAGACTGGTAAGAAAACCTGTCACTTGTACAATAAAGTCCATACCTTATTGATGAATTCGAGCAAGAACTATTCACAATGGATTCCATCCGAGAGAAAACTTGCAAGATGAAAAGAAATGGAAGATATCAATTTAGTCAACAAACATGTAACTATGAAGGTATCTTTCATAACCATTCTTTCAAGGTAAACTCTATCGACATACAACTAGTGCTAGTATTTCGAAACTTCTGATAATATGTCGAATGTAGCATATCAATTGTTAGAAAGACAAAACTTGATTTGCTTGATAATTTCGAATGCTATCCTGTTGCATATCAGCCGAGTAGTGCTTCAATATTGTATTGATCATTGCAAAGCATTCATACTATTTTTTCAAGTGTTTTCAAAACGGAAACGTTATATAAATTGTGGAATGACATTTAGACTCGTTCGTATATGAATTGAGAAAGCTTTCTCATAATTCTACTAAGATATAACAATGTTACGTTGACTAATTTAACTCTATCCAATGCATGTACGAGCAACATCATTCGTTTACGACGTCATTTTCCAAAGTAAAACTGTTGATAGTATATCTAGGGTCAGATCTTTTTATTTTAGCTCATATTCATCTAATAGATATATATTGCATTACCGTAGATATTTCTGAAAATCATAGTTCCGAAGAGCTATTATTTGTCAATCTAGCATGTATAATTTGATCTAAAAACGTCATAAGTTTTCTTTCATTGAATTTCGTTTGTTGATGCTGCAAGTTAAGGAGTATTGTTGAAAATTTGAGAATCTATTTAGCAAGAAACTCTTCAGATGAAGAGGATCTATTTGTCGGGTTTGACAAAAAATAAAGTGTGTTTATTCTTATCGAAATAAGAGCGATTTTGAGATAAAAAAATCTTTGTAGAACTGAACTTATATTTCCCTAAACTAATTCAAAAAGCTATAAGTCATTGTTGAGCACTACCTAATAATAGCAGAACAAGAAATTTCAATCTAGAATAAGAATGAATCCTCGAAAAATCAACTAACTTTTGGTAACTAATCTTTGCAATCTAATCTTGCGAGAAAATCAAGTACTCTACAAATATTATAATCTTAGAGAATTATTAACAATTTATTGCTTGTATGAATTATCATTGTATACTTACTGAGGCACGAGCTTAAAGAACCAATTTTTTCTAATACATATTCATAGTTTAAGAGCCTATTCAAAAAGCAACAAGAGAATTTGCACTCTGAAAAGTAGATAGCAACGCTCTGATTTTATTCATATAGATCTAGATTGTTTTTACTATACGAGTTGCTGTTTGCTTTTTTTGCATTTCAATGACGTGTACTACTTGAATCAAGAAACTGATGTTTGTTAAACATCTTCAAATAATTAGACTATAAATTCATGCGATTCCATTTATTTAGATTCAATTTCGACCGAAAAAACTCGAAATCGAGAGATCGGAAGACAAACGAGTCGGTGACAACAATGACTGTAAAAAGATATTTAGGCGATCGATTTTACCAGCAGAATTAATTGATCGAGCAGCTATATTCACAGTTGATCGATTAGGTTTTAGTGTTTATATTTGTGTCAAAGGAAATGCTCATGAATATACACGAATCGCATCCACCGGTAAATAATTATTGATTGTCTTCTTTTAGGAGAAAAATTTTATAATATAATAGGTGAAAATCGATATCAAATCGATCGTATACCATCGACAAATAAAGATTGTCCAATTTTTTCTACAATATGTTTACATACATTGGTTAAAACTAATCGCTCAAATAACCATTTAACGGATTACGACAAATATTCTTCACTTGAACAAGTGAAGCGGTTGTTCAAATATTTAGTTGATTTTTTCTATTCAAATCAAATATCTGTTTGTTTTGCATCGATTAAATGTGATCGAGGCTGCTTAACAAACATTCCAGCGTTATCAAAACTGTTTAAAACTCCAATACAAATTTATGCATTTACAATGTTAAAAAATGTTGGTTATTCAATTGAACAAAAAATATTCCAGCAGAAAATATTTTGCCAATCATTACTTCGAATATCGGATAATGATGATGATAAATTTTATCGTCTATGCCTTTATTTATTTCGGCGAGCAAGTGAATATCATTTTTTAAATGTAAGTAATTAATCAAAATAAATTATAATGTTGTTTTCGGTTTTACTTTATTGGATATTTTAGCTTGAAAATGAATTACACGAGGCTTTCAGAGAATATGCTAATCAAGTGGAACAATGTGTTGCAATCAATGAAAAAATGGCAACGATTTTATCACCACCAAGAGAAAAGTATTTTATTTTAGATTTCTTCTAAGAAATTTTAGACACACGAACGAACACTTATTTAATTGTCCAAGAGCTTTAGAATTTGAACTTTTTGCATAAGTTAGAGTTCAGTCAAGTATGAAAACTCTCAAAAGAGCAAATCTCCCATTAGATCTTTTCTTCAGAGTTATAGACATTCTATTGGAGTTTCTACCCATCGCATGGTATGCATGAGGAAAAATAGTGAATGACAACATTTCGATCTCACACTCAGTCCCACGACAAATCTGTTTGCCAATAGGATACCCTGACGATCTCAATCCAAAAATAATTTTTACATTTATGAGATATCCCAACTTCAAGTAGCACACGAATTTCACGAAGATATTAAACTGTTTTGTAGTTTAAAACTTGTATATCTTAGAAATGCAACATTATTTTGAACTGAAATTTCCCGAGTATTCTGTTGACAAATAGACCTGTCTTCCGATAGAAACTAAGTAAAAAGCGCTAATAGACAAGATTTTTCTTGATTTTTAGTTATGCTTATGTTCCATCAATACGTGTAACACCAACAACAATTCAAGTTCAACCTTTAAAACTTGTCAAGCTTCATCGTGTTATTCGAGAAAGAAAATTCGATGATCCAATGAGTTATGCACTTGTTGAAATACGCGATGAAGCTAATAAAGCTTTATATGCACGTGATTTTCGGTCATTGAGAAAAACATTTAAACAAATACTTACTGATGGTATTCAAACAAATAAAATTCATTATCGATATTTACATCATTCAATGTCACAAGTTAAAGAAAAACAATTTTGGTTTCTTAATTCTCGTTATTCATTAGCAGATGTGCTATCATGGATGGGGAATTTTGACAATGAACGTGTTGTAGCCAAACATGCTGCACGCATAGCTCAATGCTTTACATCAACTGAACCATCGATACGAGTATAGAAATATATTGAAAAATTTATATTAAAATCAACTTTTTCTATCTATAGATTCCAGCTGAACATGTTAAATATATTTCCGACATTGAAACACCAGATAAGCAATATTGTTTTACTGATGGTGTTGGCACTGTGTCACCGACGTTTTGCAAAATGGTTTGTTAAGAAACTTGTAGTATGCGAATAAAATGACATATTAAATATTTAGGTTCAAAAAGAATTAGGAAGACGTTTTATGCCAAGTGTATTACAAATTCGATATGGTGGTTGTAAAGGTTAGACGAAATTCTTCTTCATTTCGATTTGTTTCATATAGATTGTTTTGTTTTTCTAGGAACTGTTTCAGTTGATCCACGCCTTGAAAATCAACCACAACAACTTGTTATTCGTGAGTCTATGCGTAAATTTACAAGTGATCATGATCAATTAGAAATTTGTAAAGTTTCTTCACCACGTGTGTTATACTCTAAAATTCATTTAAAAACTAAAATCTGCTTATTGTTTTCTCTTCTTTTCAGGCGCACTTTACTTAAATCGTCAAGCTATTCTTCTTTTATCTAGTCGCGGTATACCTGACTCACATTTTCTTGTTTTACAGAATGAAAATCATCTATGGCTTGTACAATCCTTACTGAGTTCATCAATCGCATTCGAGCTACTAAACGATCGTGTTGGCTCAACATATTTCAATTTTCGTGATATAGCTAAAGATATTAATCTTGTCGAAGAACCATTTTTTTTACAACTTATTGTCACATCTGGTCATGATTGTGTATCGAAATTTCAACAACGTGCTAAAATAAAAACAGCCAAAAATAAAGCAAGAAATATGTTTGGCATTGTCGATGAGTATGGCGTACTTGAATATGGTCAAGTATTTATACAATATAATCATATAAATGATGAAAAATTAGATGTGACGGATAAACCATCGAACGTACCACCAACAATTTTAGATAATACTAAAGTTGTCATTACTAAAAATCCTTGTTATCATCCAGGAGATTTAAGAACATTTATAGCTGTAGATAGAAAAGAATTAAGACATCTTGTCGATGTTGTTGTGTTTCCACAAAAAGGTCATCGGCCACATCCAAATGAAATATCAGGAAGTGATCTTGATGGTAATTCGAATGAGAATTTAAATTAATAATAACTATTTGTTTTTTTATTGTATTGTATTGTAGGTGATGAATATGCTGTCATTTGGGATTCAGATTTAGTGCCATTAACAACAAATGATGAACCCTATAATTATGATTCACAAGATAAACCAATTAAACGTGATCACCCTATTGAACGCGATGATATAAATGAAATTGTTCTTGATATAGCTGCTCAAAATCTAACTGGTGATATGTCCAATTTACATTTAGCACTAGCTGATTCATTGGGTACACGTGATACCGAAGTATTAGGTCTAGCAGGTTTTATTTCACAAGAACTTGATGCACCCAAAACCGGAAAACATCCAATAACAAGTGAAGATTTACATTATTATCGAGTTAATCTGCTCAAAGAACGTTATCCAGATTTTATGATGAAAGAACGTTATAAATCGTATCCATCAGAAAAAATTATTGGTAATTATTTCTTAAGAAAATTCTCTTCATTGAAATAGATTTTAATTGATTTAGGACAATTATATCGATCGGCTAGACGTGCAATTATTCGATGGCATAAAGCTGCTCGAACTCACTGTAGTTTACGTCATTTAAAAACAGCACAACTTCACGATGAATCAATCGATGATGAAAATCTTGATACGCCAAATAGTAATCCTTCGATTGGTTCTCATAATTCATCGCCATGGCGATGGCAACCATATGATAGCATGGGAACTAACCATGAGCTATCATTAACACTCGATCCTGATTTAAATCATCCATCATCGAAACATCATACACGATGGGCAAGAAATTTGTTTTCAGTGTATCGAGCACATCTACGCAATATTATTAGTGTATTTAATTATCAAGATGAAATCGACCTATTTTGTCGATGTGAAGCACTTGATCAGCTGGCATCAGGTAAACAAGATATTAACATATCGGCCGGTCTTGAACTACAACGATTAATTGATTCGACACGTCGTCTTTTTTATCACCAATTCACTCAATTAACTACAGATTCAACTTCAAAACCACCACATGATGGTCCGTGTACTCGTGATAAATCATGTTCTGAATGTGGAGAAATTAAATTAGCAAGAGCAGCTGCTTGCTATTATGTTTGCTATTCTCAAGCTGCTACTCTATCAACAAAGGCTCGTTCTCGTATTCTTAGTTTTCCTTGGCTATTCGGTACATTCCTTACTGAATTGAAAAGAAGACAACAAAATCAAAATTCTTATAGTAACATTAATTATGTATCAAAGCATGTTGTGATCGGACGTGCAATGCGTAATGTAGCAAAGCGTTTAATTGAAAACAAAGAGGTAAAATTAAAAATCTTCTGGCCACCTTTTTCGGATAAGGCTCATCTTTTTTTGCGTTCAATAAATTCGACTTCGAAAAATAATTCGAAATTATTTAAACGAGATATAATTGAACGTGATCAACAAACAGATTCAATGTCTTTATCGAAAATTTTATTCATTGAGATAATGAATGAATGGATACAAAGACAAAATATCTTTGGTGAAAGTAAGTTTTCTATCGTTTGAAAAATAGAATTACAGGCAATTTTTCTTTTTTTAAAAGCTTTAATCTGTACAGATAAAAAACCACTTATTCGTGAAATTTGTTGGCATCAATTACTCATAAACTTTATTTTGAACTCAAATGAAGATGTTCTCAATGATTCATACAAATCACCTGCTTTCGAACAATATAAAGTTGTTTTTCAATCATCGAATAATTTCTTAATGACTCAGCGTTATTTTGAACATATTAAATGTGAAGTTTCAGCATCTTCCATAAATTTTGATAATTCAATGTATGATTACTCCATATGCTTACTACGTCTTTGTTTTCATTTGGCACGTAATCAAAAATCAAACGAATATGCTTATTTAAGTGATTATCTGATTCATGCTTTACAAGCAATTGGCATTGAAAAAGAACTTAATGACGTGCCCATTGATATTGATACCTAGTCACACTTACCGTCCGTTTCAGTTTCTTTCTTCTTCTCAGGATAATGCTTTTGTGTTTCTGTTTTCTTTTTTTTTAATATAAATAATGCTGCATAAGTTCGTATATGTAGATATATAAGTATATATGTTTCTGTAAAGTTAAGTGTTGGCTTGATAAACTCATACTCATAAAATCCCATGAGTGATATGATGTTTTATTGTATTTTCTTTTCTTTAATTAATAGTGATATCTAGTGTTTTTCAAAGTGAAACCAGCTAGCTTGATCTGATGTGATGATCTAAAGAGAAAAAATGGTAAAAAGTGAAAAATACTGCTTCCAATTATATATATATATATATATGATGTCGATGTATTTCTCTTGAGTATTAATACCGTTGTTTCTGTGATTTTTTTCTGTTCATGTTCTTTTTTTCTTTTTTGTTTTTGTGATTTCAAGCATTGTGAATAAGATAAAAAAAATGAAAAATAGAATATCTTAAAATTAATTTCAAAATTGATCCAAGTGCATAGTATTGATTTACATATAATTTGATAAGAATTGATTATAGGTTATTCATTTTTTTGATATTCATTAAGACTATTCGATTAGAAATGTCGTAATATTATCGTTACGAGTGGATATGAATCTGACTCAGTGCGTCGACGATTTCAAAGCAACTGTCTATTCACATAAACACCCACATTAATAAACGTTATCATCTGTCTTAATTTTATTTTCTGAAAATTGGAAAAAAAATACACAAGTTTTAAATAGAAAATTTTGTTAATTTCAAAGATAATTGTGTATCTCGAGAGCTATTTCTTTTGCAATACATGGCTACCGATCGATCATTATAAGTAGAAGATCGAATGTTTTATTAATCTAATACTGGTTTGCCACCCGAAAGTAATGCCTACACCATCAGCACATCTATTTGAACTTAAAGAAAACTATTATATTGATTTGAAAGAAATCTGAAAATTCAAATATTTTGTCAAGTAGATATAGCTGATGTGTTCTATGAAGAATATCCTGCAGACTAAATAATTGTTAGCAAGTCACTGGAAATGGACAAAGCTCACCATTCATTTATAAATGTAATGATAGTCGTTGATTATTAAAGATAATCTTTCTTATGTTTGAAGATTACAAGCAACTGTTCTCGTTTAGAATTGAACTTTATTTTTAGCTTCAAATTTTTTAAATCTATACTATTGATTTATAGTTTGCTCTGAAATTGCCATTGTCATAAGTTTCTAATGATAATCAACAAAATCAATTTTGAAATGTGACACACGCATACTGATTGATTTTTATAGATATATCAAAACCTGTTTTCTCTATAAGCATGTCATAAAATAAATAATACATCAATACAGTAGACTAGTGTTCATTCAAGTATTTCTATTTTTCGAAATCGAATTCAATGGAACGTCCAAGCCGTGGTGCTGCTCGTCGCTCATACATCGATGATTCAATATCATCCGGGAATCTATTTTTTGTATCTTCTTCGGGATTATAATATCGACCAGCATGAGCTAATTGTGAAAGCCACATGTTAATGAAACGGCGGCCAATGCGTGGCGAGGCACGGCCAAGACGCGGTGCTGCTCGTTCAAAAACATGAGATTCATATGAAGGCGAAATAATTGGATAATAACCATTAGTATCAGTTGGTTTCGAGTCAATGCAAGAGCAACAAGCTAATTAAAATACATTCAATACTCAAATATTTATAGTAAATATAAAAGCATACCAAAAAAAGTAGCCATTACGATTAAAAAGCGATATAACTTAATAATTGTCGATACATGTGAAGTAATATCTTAACAAAATAGATCAAAAATAGAAATAAAACAATAAATAGTAAACAAAAAAGATTTACCCGTTGACTTTGGCATGATAATGAATATTAGGAAATGTATGGATGTGTCTAAAAGAATTTATTAAAGTAAATGATTTCTGTCTGAATTTATCTCTCATCCCTGTGGTCGAATTAAAAATATCGTACATGTAAATTTTTAAACTATATTCAACAAATTTTTTTCTCGATTTCTGTAAATAATAGTTTCATGTACAAAATCTCTACTCTTCTTTTCTTTATCAATTTTCTATAATATACTCATCATTGCAGTAAGAAAAATAACGAATAATATCATATGTAGAAACAATCTTTCTTATTTTAGATTTCCAAGATCGATGATTGCCTATCGTGAAGATATTACTTTATCCTTTTCTTCTTCATTTCAATTCGAAATTAACCTATACCCGATAATTATGTATATATCAATTATGATATACGATATTCCTATAGTTAAATTCAGAAGAAAGCATGAGTATAACATAGAGATCGGTGACGTAAAATAAAAAGAAAATTATAAATATGTTTTTTAGAAAATCAATACGTTTATAGCAAAACAACATCGGAAATAACTAGAGAATACTCATTGAAATACACAAATACTTTCTTTCAAATAATTCTGTCCATCACAAGAAAAGAAAGATTCTCTTATTTATCTTGAATAATATTTTGAGATATTATTTACTCTACTATGTAAACAACAAAACACTACAAATTAATTAGAAAACAATAGTTTACAACTTTTACATGAAAAATATTTGTTAACATATAAAATTGAACGTCTATCCGGAGAAATGTAAACGTTTCGATCATGAAAGTGTGAAAGAAAAGTGATGCTAAAATCCTTCGACATTCATCACATTCTCTTTTTTTTCTAAAGCAAATACTATTATCGAACTTACCTATTACAATTAAAATTTTAAGAAATAAAAATTTACTTAACATCAAAATTTGATGAATGCTGCACTTAGTTCAAAAATAGAGTTTAACAAATTATATCATAACTGAATTTTTCTTAACAAAAGATTTCTATGAATCGTCTTAAACTATTCATAAAACTTTTTCTAATAGCTATGAAAGTGCCCTGTGAATAAAAACAATTGCGTCTTCTGATATCTTAACTTAATTTTCTAACCACTATACTAGATGATTCCTTTCATAAATGAAGCTTAAAATAGACTACGTCGTTCAAATATAAATAACTATATTTCCATAATTTATATTGGATTTTATATGTATCCTTAATTATTTTCTCCTACTTGAACAAACTACTCATAAATATAACTTTGCACAATCAGCAGGCGTATTGTAATATAATAATGATAACGTCAAATCTACCCCATTGTATTATGTCACAAGAAACATTACTTTTCTCTCGTCTAGAGCTACGCCTGATACATTTTTGGATGCGGTGTGTTCTCTTTCTATGTTCGTGTCTTATTAATACTCGAGAAGTAGAATGACTATTACACGTAAAAATAAATTCAGCTTTGTCTGTTTTAATGAAATTAATTAATCCGGTTTTATGATATATAAAATTAGAATTGGAGAATTCTATTGGCACAAGTTGCGCAATAATCTCAATATAGTAGAGGAGTTTTAATTTGAACAATTCAGTAATCTAAAAGCCAGCTTATATATATAATGTCTATATCGGAACTTCAAAGAAATCAATTTTTTCTTATGAATACTAAGGAGAAATGTGTGAGAAAATACACGCATATGAACGAATGATTAGATTTTTTCCTATTTAAAAAATATATTTCGTACAGCCGTAACTCATTTCTGAAAGTTTTTGAACCATAAAACCAGCAAATATTTCTCCATTAATATTCTTTTTATATTGATATTGATAGCAGTAATATTCTTTGAATATGACGCTCTTTTTTTCTGAAATGTTCTAGCTATAATTTCAGCAATCAATTTCATCGGATTTCTATCATTTTACTACGGCTATAATCTACTTATACAGCCCAACTAGTGTTTACGAGATTTCTATTGAAGGATTTCAAGCGGTGATTTTTTTCTTGGTAATTGAAAAGCTTCACAATTATTTTTAGATATCAATGTTAAAGTCACTAAATATATACAAAAAAAAAGGAAAATTTCTTTCAACCGACGTATTTGTTATTTAATGAATTTGAACATAGTATAATATCTAGGGGTACGACAGCTCTCAGATCCAGATATAAATCATATGAGCGAAAAAGCTGTTCGAAAAGATCAGATCAGATCAAAAGATCTATTCCGACAGTTCTTCTAATCTGATCTGAACTGTTTGAACAGATCAGATCCATATATTCGTTCTGAAAGTTTCTCTGGTCTTTTCAGACACTTCTTTTAATCAAATCAGATCTGTCTGAACAGATCAGAACTAAAGCCGATCTGTAATACCCCTAATAACATCTATGTTAATATGAATGAGATTCATAATTATTTTTGACTAGAAAATATTATGAATTCATCCTCTATTTACTGCGTAAAGAAATGTTCCCATTAAAATTTGGTCTGCTTTCATTAGATGGTATTGAAGAAAAATCAAAGCAAAACTATGGGTGTTTGAAAAATAGAGTAAATGTAGAATCTTATTGGTAATCATAGAAGTAAGGTTTCATCTTGCGTTTATTTACGGATACGGTTATTTCAATGGCGTAAGAAGCAGACTGTTCCATTTAGCAATCAGTTAATTATTTAACGCTGCTTCAATCATGATTCTTTTATTCTTTCAAATATCTGTTAATAAAATGAAAGTTTGTCAAATTTTATTGGTTAATAATGATATCAGAATTTGCAGATCTAGTCTTTTAGGTTAAGATAAAATTGTGAAATCTTATTTTTTTTAGAATGATTCTTTCGTAGAAATCCATCACAGCCAAAGTCTTCATTGATATTAGAGAAAATCAAAGGTACATATTTATTGAAATGAAATGAAATCGATGGAATAATCTTAAAATATATATGCGCCCTCTATGGTTGTATGTAATTGCATTATATTGCCATGAATCGAAAAGTAGAAGATTTAAAAGGTGATTCATTTATTGATAAACCATAAATAAAAAAAATGAATCAAACAACGTTTGATTGTAATGAATTTTTTTTCAATAAAATTAGACGAATCACTAGTTATGAAATTCCGCCTACCTAGTCGTACTGAGTCTTCACATTCATTTCCTTTTTCGAATATGATAGTCAAGTCATTGAATTGCGCAAACTATGACTGTGTTGATGAAAGTACAAGCATTCATAAGTCGTCAGTCATTTCAAAAAATACTACTCATTTATTTAATTACTCTTGATTTTTACAATGGCTAGCGCAATGCAACGTAATTATGGACGTAATCGTAAACAGAAACGAACAGTCAGTGCACCATTCGGTGTGCAAATTCCATCATCACTGCAAGATCCGACAAATTCTACTTTTCAATGCAAACAACTCGAATCTTTGACAAACGACGACCATGCACGTGAAGTTGCTCTTAGACATTTACATGATCATGACAGATTTGTACATGTCTGGAACTCAACTAAACTTCATCCGAATACACGTCGTTTGATGCGTAAAGTTGCACAAATACAAACAATCAATGCTGTCTGCAATGGGTATAAGTGAAGCTAGAATCTTATATCTCTTTTTTAAACAAAATTTTTATTAGGTTCTATCGACTTCCGGATACTACTAAAATAGATTTAAACAAACATAAAATGGCAAATGCTGCTCAAAGTACACGACAATATACTAATGATTATGAATATGATGAAGCTCTTCAACAACGTAGCTGTGAACAAGCAACTCAAATACTTGTTGTTAATGGTGACTGTCTTGATGTTGCCATATGTTTGAAAACTAGATATCCAAAATCAAATACAGCTGTACTAAATATGGCTTCGTCGAGAAATCCTGGAGGTGGCTGGAAAAATGGTTTGTTTATCTTGATAGATATATTTTATAGCTATGAAATATGTTGTCATATTTAGGCGCTGGTGCACAAGAGGAAAATCTTCATCGTCGCACAAATATGTTTCAATGTCTTGAAGACCCTTATAATGATTTGGAAGGTCTAAGAGATTGGAACTATTATGTACCTGAAGTAAATTTTTAGAAACTTTTCCGTATCTGATAAAAAAAAGAGTTCTTTTTCAGTTTGGTGGTATTTATTCTCCCGATGTATGTGTTTTTCGTGGTTCAGAATCTAATGGTTATCCATTTTTCTCAAATGGCCCAGAATATATTTCGTTTATTTCTTGTGCTGGTTATTCTCATCCACCAACAGAAACGGATAAAAACGGAGAATTGAAATTAAGTGGAAAACATGTGATACAAAATACAAAACAAAAAATGGAAAGTATTTTCAAAATTGCACTCGAAAATAATCATGATATTCTGATCTTATCAGCATTAGGATGGTAATCATTACCTTGTTTACTAAATTATATTTATAAAATATATGAAATTCCAACTTGGAGTCTAGTGGTTCTTTTTCAGTTGGCAAAAGAAAAGACTAGACTCTATTATGTATCAGCTAAGAACCTAATGTATCTGAGCAAGAATTTATTCACACGGTTCTGAAAAAGAGATAGAGTGAAAATCGTATATTATTTTACACAACTAACACCAGTGCTTTTTGAATCTTTTAAAACTAATACTAAATGACGAAAAGTCGTTTTAAAATATATCACAGAGAACTTCATACAAAGTGATTAATTTAATATTACTTTATACAAAAATAGTCATTCTACTAATAGAAAAAATTAAATTCAAGTTCACCATTTGATTGTAAAACAAGATCTTATAGATTTAGATTCATTTTTTCTTATTGAAATCTAATTTTCCTGTATACGATTGGCAAGATATAAAACTTTCTTATTCGTTTATTTCTAATTGACTTATCATAAATTTCGAATAATATTGATACGGATATTAATTAGCTGTTTTTTTAATTTAGTGGTGCTTTTCAAAATCCTCCTAAACATATTGGTAAACTTTCAAAATTGTTATCTATAATAAAAAAAAATAATGTCCTTTGTAATTATAGCACAGTTATTTCACGAAGTAATTGCAACAAAATATAGAAGATCATTTAAATACATTGTTTTTGCTATCATCAATGATCACAATGCTAATAAAGCTCATAATCCAACTGGTAACATTCAACCGTTTGCTGAAGTTTTTCTAGTAGATACTCTATCTATTGACGAACTTCAAGAAAGACTTTCTCAATCAGTAGAATAAAGCATAATTACTTGTTTTCATTTTTTTTTGTTTAAAATATGTCTGTAAACATCACTATTTCTCTCTAGATAAATATATAAATGTCTTCAGCATTTGTTGAACTTCTTCAAAAATCAAATCTTGATTATATTATCACACGAAAAACTTTCAAAATTGCTTCACATAATGATGATATTATATTTGCTTCATTCGTTGATATGAAAACAAATACATTACAAGTAAAACAATAGACAAAGAAATTTACTTTTGTGAAGAACGAAACTATTTTTTCTTCAGTTAGTTGCATGCTTGGATAAATTAGGGTCTGTTACACTATGGTCAACAACATTAGATGAACGTGCATTTCAATTAAATGCACGTCTTTTAGATTTAACCGAACTTGGTGAAACTATGACTTTTCTTGCTGAGCGTTTAAACGAATCTGACTTTACTCTTGTCAAAGCTGCATCAACAAAAATTGTTGGCGAACATAATGTTTCACAAATCAATGCAACATTTATACATTCTAAAACTAAACAATCAATAACTCTTCAACTATATGAAAATATGAATGATGCCGAAAAAGCTGCATTTCTAAGTCGACTTTTTTTACATGCTTATAAACGCAATGAACAATTATCGACCGACATTAAAACACAACAATTACGTATCAAAGAATTATCAACTAAAAACGAGCGTGAACAATCACGTTCAACTGGTACTGGTGGAGTTTTTGATAGTAATCAATTATTTAATTCAAATAATCAAAAGATTGATTTGATAAAATCTCAAGAACGTACAAAAATGAGTTTAATTAATCCAACTGCAAAACGACGTAAAAAAGCGACTGGTATTAGTTACGGTGATGATGATGACAGTGATTAGAATTAATTTTATTAATAATTTGTATTTATAGAATTGCTTAAATGTTTAAAAAGAATTCATATTTTATATAAGAGAATTAATGAATATTTATTTCTATTATTTCTTTGCCAATCTAAAGGTTTATTTTTCTCTAGATAATATTGACAGAATAATAATCAATATCGAAACTTAATCAAATCATATAGATTTAATATTAAACTGAACAGAGACAACCGTATGAAGATATAATTGAATGTTTTTATTAATATTTCAAATGATCGCTCATTTTTCATTTTTCAACAAAAAAAAAAGTGACATCTGATTAAAACAATATGTTTATTTCTTAATTAAAAAGTCAATTCTCAACATACGAGTGACCTCATGACTCTTTAAAATGCTTAAATTTGAGAGGAAAACAGAGTTTTGTAGGCAGTCGGACGTAAATTGTCAGGCATTCAATAGATAGCAAATATGTCTTCTTTCATTTCCCGCATAATCTTTAATCGTCACTTAGAATTATGTGTAGGCACGACGAGAGAACACTGAAAAGAATTGGTACTTCACCTTTTCATTCCGATCGAAGTCTATCATTGACAAAATGAAAAACGACATCAAGCGAGAAAATTAAAATAAATCCTTCATTATATTCATCTTCATCATTGATGATCTTTCTACTAACAATCTTCTCAAAAACAACAAGAACTGAAAATGTTCATTGTACATGGAAACATTTTCAATACTAAGAAAACTTTATTTTAGATTACAATGAGTAACATATCTGGACCCGATACGAAACAAATTCAATATGATCGCCAACTTCGTCTTTGGGGTGATCATGGGCAAAAAGCTTTAGAAGCCGGGCGTGTATGTTTAATCGGTGCGAATGCATTAAGCACTGAAATTCTTAAAGCTCTTGTTTTACCAGGCCTCGGTTCATTTACAATAATTGATCATCAACTGGTAACATTAGAAGATTGTGGTTCAAATTTTTTCGTCCATCCATCGATGATTGATCAACCACGTGCTCGTGTTACTTGTGAACTATTAAAACAGCTTAATCCTGATGTACATGGTACATATGTTGATAAACCATCTATTGATGATTTACTCAAACAAAATACATTTGATTTTGCTCAATTTAATGTTGTAATAACTGCTAATCTTCCATTAAATACACTAGTTACACTTTCTACTCATTTATGGTCACTTAAAATACCTTTACTTGTTGCTCGAGCTTATGGGTAATTGAAGAAATTTCAATGCTTATTTATTAAATTTATTTTTCATTTAGCTTTATTGGTACGATTCGTCTTCAAGTGGTTGAACATTATATAATCGAAGCTCATCCCGATGATACAATACCTGATCTTCGTCTTGATCGTCCATTAAAATCATTTGTTAATCATTGTAATTCAGTCGATTTTAATAGTTTAACGCGTGAACAACATTTACATATGCCATCACTTATTATTCTATATAAAACATTACAACAGTGGCAAAAACAAACTAATCGAATCGATATTCCACATACACGTAAAGAAAGAGATGAATTTAAACAAATTCTTGAACAATTATCTCATCATTCAGTTTATGATGTTAGTGATTCGAATAAATCTTTAGAAAATTTTGATGAAGCTAAACGAGTAATACCATCTCGTCTTGTCAATACAACTATTCCATCGGCAATAAATAATCTATTTCAAGATCGTTCTTGCTTAGAATTGTCAAATCAATCACATATGTTTTGGTTTATTATAAATGCAATGAAATTATTTACCCAGAATGAAGGTCAAGGTTTATTACCTGTGCGTGGTGAAGTACCTGATATGATAACAAATACAAGTTCATATGTTAAATTAGTTGAGATTTATCAAGAACAAGCAAAAAAGGATTGTGAAACAATTCATAATTATTTAATTGATTTATTAAAACAACATAATCGATTTTCAACAATGTCATCGAATGAAGCAGCTACGTTACATGAACTTGTTCATACCTACTGTAAAAATGCAACATTTTTAAATGTTATGAGAACAGCATCGATTAAAAATGAAGATGATTCATTAAAAAAACTAATCGAACAAATCCCATTAGAATCATCGTCGGATGAATCAGAATCAGAAGTTTCCTGGTAAGTTCCTCACTTTGGGAAAAAACATATAAGAAAGACATTGAAGTAGACAGAGAAGAAGTCTACCGTTCCTTCTCACAATAATAGAACTTGGTCATGTAGGATCATAGACTATATAATAGATCGCAAGGTATCCTATACTAGAAAACTAAGATCGATAGAGCTAATTATAAGCCAGTGAAGTGTCATTTTAATATCTACACTGGTTTCTTGTTGGTTTTCTTAAAGACTAAATAGAGTATGATGAATGATGTTTGCCTTAAAATAGATAAAATGAAACTATCTGTCTATGCTGAGAGAAATAATAGACTACATCATATTTTATATTTTAATTTGTTTTTAGTGAAATTTACGAATTATTTTTAGGTACATTGGTTTACGTCTATGTGATGCATTCTATGAAAAATTTAATCGTTATCCAGGTGAATTTCCTCTATCGACCAATGATGAAACAAATTCAGATCAAAGACAACTTGAAATAGATTTCAATGATTTAAAACAAATCGGAAGACAATTATTAAATTCGGATAGGCAACAAAGTTCTATACGAGAAAATATACTTCAAGAATTATGTCGATATGGTGCATCAGAGCTTCATTCTATTTCAGCATTTATTGGTGGATGTTGTGCACAAGAAGCCATTAAATTAATTACACATCAATATACACCAGTCGATAATGTATTAGTGTACAATGGTATTCGTCAATCTGCAAATGTATTTAAATTATAAGTGATCATATGCAACAAATACGATCAGTGACTTTGATCGATAGAAAACAGAAATTCTTTGGGTTGTGTGATTTCTAGGACAAATCTAGACAAGAGTTCTTCGTTTTTTTTTTACACTAACACAAAATATTCGTTAACATTCCTTTGATTACACTTATTATTAAGATTTCGTTAAACAAGGAAAACCAACAATTGAGAATAACATTTTTCATTATTATATTGCTAAATAATAACACGGAACGGCGATGTTGAAAGATCAATACACATGTATAACCTTGTTTAATATTATATATCCACCATGACTGACTTTAAGTTAAATTATATCTGCTTTGCCATTTCTTTTGAAGTATTCGGAGACAACATATCCTTGAACTTTGTCTAATCGCATAAAGCAAGCAGATTAAATCTTTCTTATTGATTCTGAATAAACTTTTATTTTTTCTCTTTCGACATCAGTGATATGCAAAACAAATACATGAAATTCCGCTAGACCACATAGTTGACTTCTAAAATAATCAACTCGTTGTTTTTTTGAAATCTCGATGTTTTTAAAAATTGAGCCTTTTGTACTAGATAACTTTTTTTTTCAAGTCGGAGCCTAACAAATGTTAGAAAGCTTAACAACATATATTTCGAAAAAGGAAGCCTTTTGCTATTTGATAAATGTGTATGTGTTCATTAATTTTGAGCAATATAAAATAAAGTGTACCGAACCGTAAGAATATGAACAAAGAAAATACGAACTCAATTTTTGTTGTTGCCGTTTTCTGTGTTATTTATTTTCAAACGTGTGACATCATCGGAATATGGTGAAAAAGCGTTGATTACGGTTACGAAATGGCCCAACATTGAACAATAGCAAACAGTGTAATCTGCTTCGGAAGAACTAATATTTTCTATGAAACGTGAGAGTAAATTTAATTTAACTTCTGGCACTGGAAAGAGCATTATTGAAGCAGCAATATCATCGTTAAATATGCTTTTAGCAGTCTCTTTTAACACTAAAAAAGAAACTTCACAAAAGTCAGAGAATGATGCTGCTCAGACTCGTTCTGCAAAAATACTTTCGATGCAAAGTTGTGATTCAACCATACTGCTACTTTAAAAAAATTCGACGGAAGTAACCGTCAGCAGTATGATCTTAAACTTGGATATTTATCACTTATTTTTATGCAGGCTATCAAAAATTATTAATAGAAAATTATATTTTACAAAATGAATAAATCTTTTTGAGGGTTAGTGTTTTCACGAATGTTTTTATATTTCAAATAAAAGTTACGAGGCATCTGTCACTTTCGAGTATTAATAAAAAGTAAGTCGTTTATTGGTTGTTTTGTTTATCTCTTCATCGAAGGCTTCAGATATATATTTTTCTGGGTTTTTTTCTTTCAGTTCTTCTCGTCAGATTTATGTTCTTTACCATTCTGAGTATTTTTTTCGCTGATGTCATTCAGTGATTTACGACGAACGGAGAAACTATTTATGTAGAACCGATTCACGGCTTTTCTTACTTTACTTGCATTTGTATTCATATTTCAGACGAAATTCACTGGTTTTCTGGCTTACATTACAAAATATGTCATCGGCAACTGTACGCAAACTGCATTATTTTGATGGACGAGGTCGAGCTGAAGCTATTCGATTGATTTTAGCTCTTGGTAATGAAAAAATTGAAGAGAATCGTTATACATTTGATGAATGGCCAAAGATTAAGCCTGAAATGCCATTAGGTCAACTTCCTGTATTAGGTATCTCTATTTTATATGATTATAGAATTTCTTTTATTAAAAATTTGGTATTTGATTAGAAATCAATGGTGAAAAATTTCCTCAATCAGTAGCTATTGCACGCTATCTTGCTCGGCAATTAAAACTCGGTGGCAAAAATGACCTTGAATCAATGAAATGTGACATTATTGTTGATACAATGCAAGAAATCAATGAGGGATACTATCGAGCATGGTTCCATATTAAGGATGAGCAAGAGAAAAAAGAAGAACAAAAGATATTTATTAATGAAGTTATGCCTAAAAAATTGCAAGGAGCTGAAAAACTTATGGCTGCATATGGTAATGGAGTATGGACTGTTGGTGACAATCCAACATGGGCTGATTTAGTCGTGTATGACACGATAGAAAATCTTCTTAAAATGGATGGCCAATTATTGGATAAACATTCTATATTGAAAACAAATCGTGAAGCTGTGGCAAAATTACCGAAACTTGCTGAATATCTTGCCAATAGAAAAGAAACATCATTTTAAATGGAAATCTTACTTTTTGAAACAACATTTAATATAACATTATTTTTAAGCAGTTTTCTCTTTTGACACAATAAATAGATTTTAATAAACAAAACACCGTTCTGTTTTATTCAACTTATTTATTTTATTTCACCAGTTGATGCCAATTAAAGACAGCTAATGAGCTATTTATTTGGAAGTAAAATTCACTAAAAGAAGCAGCAAACTATGATATAGCAATTTCACTATTAAATTCTCTAATTATTTTAATTAACGCCATTGATTCAAAACAACATATGACATAATACAGCAGTCCTCTTATAATACATTGTAATGAAAGGTGTGTTACTCACACTAAGCAAAATAATCTCATTTTTATCTAGCAGAATAGGATACGGTAATTGATCAAATCGATAATTTCTATGGTCTATTACATGTTTTCTTCGTTTTCAATACCCTCAATAATAATGGTGAAAATCGAACGTTGATTCAATTATCAGCTAGGAGAATATGCAACTAAAATGGTACACATGTGTCATACTTAGACAAGTTCAAATTAAAAATAAATTTAGCTTTGTCTTTTTTAGCAAGTCCTTCTTAGTATGCCATGAAAGCATGTAGATGTATATAGTCATTTTTATTGTCATTCCTAAGCTTTTTCCTATTGAAAACGTTTTTTTCACCAAATGTCATCATGATTTTAAAGGCACATGTTTAATTATTTGAATAACCACAAACATGCTGCAAAAATTCAATATAGTTTTTATGAAGCAAATAAAGCTAATTTATAGCTCTTCTATTGAATACGAATTATGCTTGGTAGAATCGTTAAACTTAATAGAAATGTTGTTTTATTTTAGATGTCCATTCCAGTGGTTGTTGTTGTCAGAACGTTTTAGTGAAAAATATCATCAATGAATGCCTTCCATGAATTGCAATAATAAACATTGTTGTTGAGCATTTTTGTCTCTTCAGCAAAAGCAAAGAATAAATATCAAAAGTAAAAAAAGAAAATATTTATTAAAAAATAGATAAATTGATGATTGTAACATTTGGCATTGCTATTCAATTAATAATTAGCAAGTTGGTGCATGTGGTCAAATGCAACAAGGAACGTGTCATGCTGCAAACAGTTTAAATATTGTTAAAAAACCATGCTTTAGTAAATAAGGCTGTTCTACTCCATCAACTTTTGAACTCTTTGGAGATCCATGTAAGTTTCTCAGTCGTATTTTCGTGGTGATTCACTTGATTTTTACTGAAGAAATGGTCAAGCTACATTTCGACAGTAAACTTTCACTTGATTTCACAGTAAAACATTACTGACAATCGATATCAATAAGACTTTGAAATATATTTTCATATAAATATGCATTGATGAAAATGAAAATGAAAACTAAAAAATTAAGTACGCACATGTATTTTTTAAAAGAATTTTTAATCGAAATTTATTGGAAATATGTTTTGAATGCTGAAGCTTGTTGAATATATTCTTTATACCTATCGAAAAGTTTTTGTATCAATGGAAAGAAATTCATTTTGAACTTTAAATATACATCTTTTATTGAATCAACACATATAATAACCTCTTACCTAGAACTGATTGTAATGTATAGAAAAAAAAAGAAAACCTTTTGATGCGGCAGTTTTTGTAGGTGACATCTAATTTTCAAATTAATATAGATAATATTCATTCAGAAATGTATACTATGTTCTTATTTGATACCTATGTTAAAGATACATATTAACAATATTTTCTTCATGTGTCTTCTCATTTATGCATATAAAATTGGAGCTAAACAACTTATAAATATGTAATTTCAATTTCTTTCAAACCCAATCTATTCAAATGGAAAGCAACCTGAATTTTTGTCCTCGATAAATTAGATCGCATATTGTTTGAATG